ACAACTATGGCATATTTTTCCAAAACCTGTGTTTATCCTTCAACTATGTAATATTTTATTCCACAGACAGTATTGGATTGTTTGTTTAGGATACCATAGTATTTTGTTGGTTGGCGACTCTTTCCGAAACCTAGGTATTTCCTGCCTGCCCCCTGGTAAACATTACCATCGTTCTCCACTAATAAACAAACGTTGTTTTTATAAAGACAACAATTAAGGGATTAAGCCTGACCATTTTGCAACAATAAAATTTTATTTCACTCTAAAACAAAACCGTTTCATTCTCTCCGTTCGCATTACATTATAAATAATAAAAGGTTACTTTTTCGATATGTTAGTTTAAAATATTTTTAGTTTTTCTTTAGGTAATTTATAAACTTTGGTTGATAGGAAATATTTATGTTCTGGAGAATATTAGAAGCACAATGGATACATATTTTACAGTTTCCAATAAAAAAAATACCGTTTTCTTAAATTTATTATTATTTTTTTTTTTTTTTTTTTGATTTTAAGAAATGTGTTTCTAGCAAAAAATTGACGTTGAGATCACCAAAATAGTTTTTTTGTTGTTGTTAAATATAGAGGAAGGGTAAAAAAGTTTGGTTTTAAGCAAAAGGCATTTTTTTGGGGTTTGTTTTTTGTTTTGTTTTGTTTTGTTTTATGAAATTACAATTGTTTTTGTGTTGTAAATAATCCTTAGACAATTTGAAATGATCGTTAATAAATAACTGATTATATTTATGTTTGTTCCATTACCCGTATATGTACGCATACCCAATCGACTTAATGGCCCATAGTCTTAATACAAAATAAACGCATTTAAAAATCAAGCAGCAAAATTGGTAAAAACAATAGGGGACCACAAATGGAGTGAAATAGAAAATAAAAGAGGTTATATTAAGTTTGTTTGTCGGTTTGTAACTTCTCAAAATGGTTATTACGCTTATTTACTCAAACGCTGTCATAACTAAAATGTATTTTAATTTTTCAATAATTTATATTTTAACAAGTTAAAAAGCAGTAAGTTCGGCCGGGCTGAACTTTGAATACCCTCCGTCAGTGGGAACGAAATTGAAAATTTTCAAAAAATAAAATCCTTAAAAAAATCTGTTAACATTTTAAAAATACCGAATATTGCCGTTATATTGGGGTCTATACGACGTGGACCTACATAGGCATTGTTTCTCATAAGCCATTACCATATTCAAATTCGAAACTTGAAATAAACGGTGAATAATGTAGCTAAAATCATCAAAATATCGTATATAGGGAGGTGCCGTTATATCGGAGCTGTGCGAAGACCATAGACAATTTTCTGTCACATTACTAACTTCAAATACGACATCTCAAACAATTTGGGTGGGTTTTGTACCTAAACTCGTCGAAATTCCCAATATAGGGAGGTACTGATATATTAGTCCTGGACCTGCATAGACAATTTTCTGTCACAGATTGTAGTTCCCATTACGAACATCAAATACCAAATTTCAAAACGATTCCGGTGAATAATGTCGCTAAAATCATCAAAATATCGAATATAGGAGTTAAAAACGGAATGACAAATTCCTCCATAGTATGTTGGAGGGTATAATAATATTTTAAAGATGTTAAGTAACATACATTCAAAATCCACGATTTAAATGCATACTTATACCAGTTATTTCACATTTCTAATCCTTTTGCATAGCTTCTTTATGTTTTGTGTTACTTATTTTAATTGAATTACATAAAACCTTACGAGTAAATTTGAACTAGCTGATTTCTTGATCAGTTTCTTAATTGCCGAATTTCGGTACTGGTAGACATTCATCCCTTACCATCTTAATTAGCATCTTGGAGCAGGTCACAGGATTCTTGTGGCAATATTATTTGTTGCTTTTACGAAAGCTTTTTTACCAGCCTACTTACCCGCTATTTTAATACAGACGTTTCGGTCGAAGACGACCATTTAAATTGGCTTTTTTTAGTCCACTGTTTAAATTAATATTGTTCTAGATCAAAAGATATCAAAAACATCTTCTATAACCGAAAATTTGTGTGGCTGGAAATACACATGAGTAAGAAGCTTACTTTGTAAGTTGCACATGTTGTTGACACACTGACAAGTCTACAAATGTAACATGTAATTATACCCCACACCACATACGGGTGAGAAGAAAAAACTGCAACCAACTTCAGACAGCTGTCATTTCTAAGCTACTCGTCCGACAGCTTCTAAAATTATTCCAGTGACAGCGCATTATATTGTTTACAAGCTTACAAAAGCATTTTGGTGAGAATTTTCCAGAAAAAAAGTTATTTGGCTGAAAACCACAGTCACCGTCAGGTGATCGTTAGAGCACTCCAGTATTTAAATGTGAATAAATCGCTCTCCGCTCGTATTAATCGATCGTGGCATCAAAATAAATTCCGAATGTTATCGCGAAAATATTCTGTAGCAAAAGAGCTAAAGATTTGCTTTGTTGTTGCTTGGCCGAAAGTGGTGAACTGCCGAATTTGGGTTTCTCCGATGAGAAAACATTCAATGTCCAGCAGTTTGTAAACAAACAAAATGATCGTGTTTACTTGCAAAAGAGGTCAGCTGAAAATGTGCACCTTCGGTTGGCCACCAGAACCCAAGCGCCGGCCGTGGCATCAGATTAAATGCCGAATATTATGCCGCAGACCTTGGACATTCCAACAGGACTCAGCATCAACGCACTCAGCACGCGCCACCCAAGAATGGTTACAAAATGAGTTTCCTCGCTTCATTTCCAGCACACAATGGCCACCAAAATCTCCGGATGCCACTCCATTGGACTATTGTGTTTGGAGTATTTTGGAAAGCAAGGTTGGCACTAAAAATAACAAAGTGTCGGTCACCTCAACCAAGCGCTTCGCCAGGAATGGGCCAAAATACTGCAGAGCAACATTCAACCGTTAATGGTTTCATTGGCCGTTTGAAGGCCATAACTCGTGTCAAAGGTGACCAATTCGAACAAATCTAAACTTATTCTAAAATTTGATGCTATCTCCGACATATTTTGCTTTCATTCAATAAAATTGAAAGAAAAATATGTAAAAATGATGGCGTTTGACTTTGTTGCAGTTTTTTATATCACCCTGTATACCCGGTGTGTATTTGTTTGTAACATGGAGAAGAAAGCAAGATAGACCCATGGATACTTTTGAGAATCTTCATAGAATCACTTTCTTAGTCGATTTATGTATGTCCATGTATTGTTTTGAACAAAATACAGGACGCATTTATTATTCGATTGAGATAACATTTTCAAAACAACACTTGTTTGGCCCAAGGACGAACCCTATTGAAATTGATGAGAATCGGTTCAAATTTAAATATAGCTCCCACATATATATCTTCAACCGATTTCGGGTTAATTGTGCGCTAAATGGCCAATACCAGTCCAAATGACGGGAATTTTGGCACATCCGACCGAATTCAGCCTAAAAGCAATTACATCAAATTTCGATAAAATCAGTTCAGATATAGCTATAGCTCCCACATATATGTTTCATCCGTCCTTCACATGCCTAATATACACACCAAAAGAATGATATTTCGTACCACATAACTTACGGAGCTCTGTCAAATTTTTTCCAGATCGGATCACATATTTGTGATTTCGCTGGAATTAAAAATATACATAGTTTAATGGAAACATAAAAGTTATGGTCTATTTAATCCGCAAAATATTATTCGATGACCATCCAAATTAGTAGGCTTCTGCCGTGCAACTCATGCAAAATTTCGAGTCGATTGGTCTATAATTGTGAGCAACTACAAAATCAACATTTTTTCTGTTTCTGGCATAACTCAATCCCTAAAAATTTTTATGATAATTTCCCCCTACGTTACGCTTCTTTTCTGACCTTACAAAATATTGAGTCTCTTTACCATGGACATAGCTACATCGACTGAGCTCGGTATCCATATCTACAGTTTTACATCCTACGAAGAGAGACATATATTAAAAGAAATAAAAAGCAGCTAAATTCCCAATATTTCAGTACATCCCTATATTCGGTGTTTTAATGATTTGAGCGACATTATTCACCAAGTTGTTTCGTATTCAGAGTTTGTAATGGGAAATACAGTCTATGCCAGAAAATGTTCTATATAGGTTGAGGCCTTCGTATGGGTCTCACATATCAGTACCTCCCTATAATCGGTATTTTGACGATTTAGTTACAATACAATATTGAAGTTCCTAATAGGTACTACAGCCCTGTCTATACAGCTCCATGTCTTCGTGTAGCTCTGATATAACGGCACCTCCCTATATTCGGTGTTTTGATGATTTAAGCTACATTATTCACTGGACTTTTTTTCAAGTTTCGTATTTGAATGTTATAATAGCTTATGGCAAAAGTTGCATATGCAGGTCCACGTCTTCGTGTAGACTCCAATAAAACGTCTATATTCGGCATTTTTAAGATTTTAATAAATTTTTAAACGAATTTTATTTTTTTGAAAATTTCTAATGCCTTCCAAACAATGGAGGGTATTCATTTTTTATATATTTAGATTCATATACATTATTTATTGATATTTGGGCCCATGACTTTTTTAGGGCCTATAGTAGAATTATGACAAATTATTTTGTAGAATATTTTAACTGGCTACAATCTCCTTTATAGAAAGTTTTTAGCCATATTTCCGAAAATATTACTCGTATTTTTGTCTGCAACATTACCGAAGACAGACATTTGATAGTTAGTTTGGCTCTTGGTTTAGTTGGTAGTAAAATAATGGGTTTATGATGCTGTTTTGTAAATAGTTAGTTTTCACAAAATGTATTAAGTACCTATTATTCGGCAATGAGATTTTTTGCTATGTAGAAGTACGAGAAATTCGAAATGAAGGATTTCATATAAAATTGCGCTTTTAAACTTATTTGCCTGATCCGGACAAGGAAAATGTTGAATTTTTTACGGGTCTTGATAATTCAAATACGTAAAACAAATGGAATTTACCTCATAAATCTTACTGGAAACTAAAAAAGACATACCTTATGTTCAATATTTTTTCTATTCCCTCCCGTTTGTGGTCCATTGGCGTCGTTGTGCTATAAGAAAACCTTAATTGCTTTTTCTAGGAAAAGTGCCCGAAAAGAAATGCATAGCAGTTAGTAAAGTAAGGTGGTACAATTTAATTCATTTACTTATTTTCTAAAATAATATATTTCTTCAGTGTTATTTTTGTTTTCATTTTCTTTTTTTATTAAATAAAACATAAATCATTTATTTGAAATGGCTTTGCAATTAAAATACATAATGAAGGCAAATAACCATTTTCAGACCTTAAATTTATAATCAATGAATGGAAAACTTATTTGAAAATCTACAATTTTTCTAAGTTAATGATTATCATAATTTATAATGTAATACTGTAATTAAAAATCTATTTGCTTTATTGCTGTTGTTTCAATGTGTGTGTTCGAGTTTAAAAAGGAACTTATTAGTCATCAATAGAGGAGGATATTTCTTGAAAATTAAAATGAAAAAATGGTGTATAAAGAATCAAGATTGATAAGTCAGAGTTGATTTCAAAAAAAAATGTTAAAAAAAATGGAATCATTCATACAATCGAGTTTTGGAAGAATCAATACCCACACTACCCGGCTTTCTTATGTGGGTTGATTATGTCTAGGGAAGTCCTGAATTGTTGCAATGAACTCTGACCCCACAAACCTGATTGGTTATCAGCAAAAACCTAACAAAACTGGAAGCGCTTTTTTCCCAAATAAAAACTAAACTTGATACAATGGAATATTTCGAAAAATAATAAATATAATTTTTTTTTCTTTGAATCTTAAAATATAAATTTTTGTAATTTCCTGTTTTGCCTCTTTATAGCCAAAAAGGAATTCATAATAATAATAATAAATATATAATTTATAAACTAAGTGCGTTGGTTTTTGTTGTTCTTGTTTTAGGTATATATTTTTCTGTTGAATTATTTTTTTTTTTTTCTTTGTTTTTCCATATTGAACATTATTTTGTAACATTTGTTGTTCTTTATTTTGCCAAGGTACTCCCAACTCGGAATATCCTCCATCCAAACCCATCATGATTATTGATGGATTATACTTTTTTGAAGACTGGATTTCTTTTGTGTGGATATTTGCATTTGTGTCTCTGAAATTTTGCTGAATCACTTATCGAATTTAATCCATTTTCAATGCTTGCGGCTTGCGGAACAACTCCTCCAATTTGGCTCTGGGCGCATCGATGATCAACATATTTAACGACGAGAAATCCCAAATAATTGTAAAGTGGAAGAACATATTGGCAATGGCAATCAGATATTCAAAGAAGGCAAACCAACTGAAGGCTGTGGGAGAGGGGAGAAAAGTAGACAGAAAATATTTTAATAGGAAGGGATAATATAAAGTTTTGACTGCCGACCTGTAGCAAATTCGATATAGAAAAAAATTCGATTCAAATGAATTTTAAGAGGCCAACATTTTCATTTTTGTCAGTCTAAAATAAACATACAGATAGAATGCAAGAATATGACCCCTGACTTGGCCAGTTGACGATTTCGTACATGTTTTTTCCAAGAGTATTTTTAAGGACTTTCTTGGTTTTGATCTAAGTATATTTCTCCGGGGATTTTTATTACAAATTATTATTTCTGCAAACGCATGCTATTTCTCAACAAATACATGGATATAAGCTTAAATATGTTGGACCCTTATCGAAAAGATGGGCAATTTGGTGGCATCCTCTCCAAAGGATTCCCACATCTGTCCCTCCACCAACCTTCGTCAACTTACCCAAAACATGACAATAGAAACGATGTTTGGCAAAGAATATCAATAGGCCAATGGTGCTTAGAATCGACATTGCAAAGAGAATTTTCTTCCATTTGATTGAGTCCCGCTGCTTTTGTGACAGTTCAGTGTGGTCTTCATGGATGGCGCCATTCAATTTAATGGTGGCCAACATATGGCACAATGAGCATACCATAAATGTTATGAAAATGCGTTCATGCACAGCTGGATGAGAAAAAATATTAAATCAACATCAAATGAAAAAAAACAAAAAACTACAACTCACGATAATTTTCCCGATTTGACACATATGTAACGCCACCCAACGAGGCTATCTCAATACAATTCAATACCAATATCAGTGTAACCAATGCCCCCAGATTGCCCACCTTTTCGGGTCGCTCCTTTTGCAGTTTGGCCAACATGCTGCGATAATAGTTCTTGTAGATGAATGCTATGGGTATACGTGGACCCAGATGTAGGGCAATGCTAAAACGCCAAAAATAACGTTGTGGGCTAACACCGGTAATTGCACTTATTGAGGGTACAATATTATAAACCTGGAATCAATAGAGGGATTATAACTACAATATATTTGGCAAAATCGTATCAAACTTACGCGACAATGTGTCTCATGTACGTCATCATATTGGAAGACATAGGCTGTAACGAAACACGTAAATAACGTTGCTAATGGCAAGAGAGCTGTGACCACGCAAATCCGATGAAAACTTGTAAAAAAGTGTACACCAATGTGGAAATCGTTTGGCGCATCGTGTGACAGTGAACATGGCGTTGTTTCTTTGTAGGGCTGCAAGAAAAACAAAAATTATATATATATAGGTTATATTTTTATAAGGACTTTAAAATCTATATATATAAAAGAAAGTTGTGTTAGTTACTACGCTTATAACTTAAGAACCGCTGGACTAATTTTAACGATTCATACAAATTCGGAATTGTCTCCTCTCCGAAAAGGATAATATCCAAAAAAATCGCGTAAAAATGTGTTATATTAACATTTTCATTTTGACTTTTGAAATGTACAATAGTAATGTTTTATTTTGCATAATTTTTTTCCATTTTGACTTACTTTTTTCTAATGTACATTTGTAGTGTTTTTTTTTTTTTTTTTTTTGAATTCAAATATTAATACCAATTTATTTAATTGACTTGATTTCTTGAGAAATGAAATTGATGGCGAGTTACATGGAAGTGTAGTACCGAATTATGTGGTGGCGAAACGGAATAGATGATGTCGAAATAATTTAATGGAATCGAATTTTAAAATAGAAGTACACTCTATTGACAAACTATATAAGGATCTTTAAACATTTTCTGTACAAAATCAGCGAACAAGTTGAAGATTTTTTCAATGTGTTATTCTTCTTTTGTCATTTTTTTTTTCAATTTGTATTATCTAATTGAATTCAGTAAACTTTTTGTGAACAAAATAAAGAATAGTTTTTCACTATATACAAATTTTCACCAAAAAATTAATTAAGTGGGAAATACGATGTTAACTGACATCTACCTTTCAACTCCAGGGCCGACATCGTGGTTCAGCTGGAAGATGCGAACACATTTGAACAAACGAAAATTACCGAAAAACCCTAATGGGGCTCATTTCAAAACGTGGAACTACTTCTTTCCTGTCACAATAATCCGTCCAATGTACAATCAGAAAAATACCAAATATAAAGGGTGGAAAATAGTAGAGCGAATGGGACTCTTAGTAAGAAAAGAATTTCTATCCTTGCAGAAATTCTTCCCAAACATTCGAGATACCTTTAATCGCTTTTGCAGGTCATGATATCGATCATAACTCACGGATAAGGGTACAACCCGATTTCATGTTTATATAACCATCGTATGATTTAAGTTTTTTGGTGTCTTGGTCACTTTTTTAATATTTTGGACATTATTTGGCATATTTGTTTCTAAGGAGGTAGAAAACCTCTTCGCATAAAGTTTGAAATTTTCAGAGTAGGGCCCATTTTGGTCTTGACCATATTCATTAATTGATTTGGCTAAAAATTGTATTTATGCTACCCTGGGGTAGGGAACCATCATACATATAATTGCCACACAGGAATTTATTTAAATAAAGTATCTCCAAGTCCACTTTCACATCTAATTGGTGGTCAGAAAAGAAAATTTTGTTTTCTATTGAATTTGTAACCCCAAAGAGAATATTGGTTGGGCCACGTTTTGGTATAACCCTTATATAAATGTATCCCTGATTTCAGCTGTGACCGTGGTCTTGGCCACGTTTTTCATCTGATTTGGCCATTATTTGCTGTATTTAGGCTACTTTGTGAGTAGAGAACCGTCTTACAGAAAAATGTCAACATACGTAAATATTTTCGTACAGTCCCCATATAGTCCCCAGGCCCGCCGATCTATAGTGATGTTTACCGATTGGCGGACAACAACGCGGGTATTGTTTAATCGTCATTGAATTTTACTATGAACAAGAACATAGACTTTTTGGGGACTCTAATGCGCAATTTGAGGTGCTATGGTAATGGGTGTAAAAGCGTAATTAACTTTGACTATTCAGAAATTATTTTGCCCTCCTTCCATAGTTATTTATTTCTATTTAGTCGAATCAATATTTATATTAAAATTTGTTCACCTTTATGAGCTAGATTTGTGAAATATTATGCTATGCTAAATTTGCATTAAAGACTAAAACTACGGGCCGGCAACGCGGACAAATCCGATGAGAAATGTGACAAAAATCGTCAAAATAACGAATTTCGAGAGGTACCGTCATATGGGGACTATACCAAAACGTGGACCATTTTCAATACCAACCATCCAATACACAGTACAAATTGTTCTGCTAAATTTTAAAGCTCTACGTCAAATAATGTGGGCTGTATCGTAATTTAAATAAACAGACATACAGACGGAGTCTATGACGAACATATAGGGATGTTACAAACGGAATGAAAAAGTTAATATACCCTCCTTTCCAAGGTGGGGGATATAATAAGCATTAAAGACTAAAATTACGGGCCGGCAACGCGGACCGGGCCAGCTAGTACATTATATACTTATTTGCTACAGTATACAATAGAATAATAAATAAACATCATCCTTCGCCGTAGTGCTTACAGTATAGGAAACTACAATAGTAAAGAATATTTTAGTGATTTCACAACGTTAATATAAATATGCCTTACAAGATTAAAAGGAGACTAATACAAAACCAAATTAAAAATTTAAATCTACCTTAGTGCTACTTACACTTAACTATATGCAATTATATTATTATTGAGTAATTTTAGTAGATCTGCGGGTGACAGACGCTTCCTTTTTTTGTATTTTGGGGAGCTCCTCTTGGTAGTCCAGGAATTGTTCCACTATGCTATTATCCACTACTTGTCATCTTTCGTAGAAGTTAAGCGCATTCCCCGTCATGAAGGAGTCTATCCGGCTACATTTTATGGAGTTAGAGATGTTCCTGATGCGGGTCTGTACATTCCATTTCCATCAATGATTGGCCTTATTTCAAACAAAATCCTTCTCAAAATCCTTCTTTCCCTTATTCAAAATCCTTCTTTCCTTTTCCCTTTCAATTTAAGCCGAAGATATATCAGCCCAAGCAGCAAAGGAATAGGTTATTATAAGCAGAATAACTTACTTGTAGATAGCAATTTAGAATCCATCGACAGTCCGGAATAGACTCTGGTCGGCGTAATTAATATTTTTGTGCTTTGATAGCATATAGTCCACGTGACGGCCGAAGTTAAATCTGTCTGATATTTCATCCTACAAGAAGTTCCACTTAGTTGGTCACTAACCTTGGTAGTAGAAAGTATCTCCGAAAGCCCTTGCTAAATCGCACATACGCAGTTTCCAACGTTGATGTTAAGTCCCCATTTGTTGAAGTAGTTTTGGAGTGTATTGATTCCGAAGCGTCCTCATAGCGCCAACAAAATGTCATCAGCGTACATTAGCAGTAATTTTCCTTTAGTCGGTCCAGAAATGTCTCTAACAAACATGTTGTACAAGACCGGTCCCAGAAGCGATTTTACCAGTCGTTGATCATACAGTTTGACATCAACTCTAACCCGAAAGATTCTATCGTTGCGAAAGCTTGCTACCATGGGACAGGCATGGTCTAGAACATGGGTTGTACAGTGTTTTGCTCTACATATATCCGAATACTCTACATATATCCTTTAGTATTCTTCTTACTTCGATGATCCAGTTGATTGCTTGATTATTATGCTTAGGTTTTTTATGTCAGTTTAAGTTTCAGGTTCTGCTATACGTCTTAGGATTTCCACTGGTTTTATAGTTCACTTGTATTTATAGTTCCTCTTCTGTACATGAAAGTTTAGAGAATCTCAATCCAAAACAAAAACAAAGGTAACATTAATTATAAATACGAGTAAGTGAGAGAGGGAGAGAGCGATTAATGACAATAAGAATTAATCTAAGACTGACACATAAAAAAAAAATTATGGGAAAGAAAATACAACAACAACAATTGGAAACCAGGAAAGAAAGCCTTTAAGGCGGGCGGGCCCGACTTTATGATACCCTACATCACTTTGCTAATTTAGTAGAGCTCCACGTAACAATTAAAAGTTTTTATGGGAGAATTCAATTATACACGCTATGATTATAATTATAATTTTAAGTTCAAAGGACTAAATATACCGAAGCATTTGTATCTTTTAAATTCGGACTTAATTTGCCCATTTGGTGCTCAATTAATTTGAAATCGGATAAAGATATATATGGGAGCTATATCCAAATCTGAACCGATCTCGATAAAATTTGGCAAAGATATTTCTGAGCTGTATTTCATATATTTCCCTGAATATCGTTGTTACGGAGTGCATATTACGGTTCTGGGTAACAAATATAACAAATCGGATGAACAATATATATGGGAGCTATAGCTGAATCGATATTCACCAAATTTGAGTTCAAAATTCCATCATATTTGGGCAGTGCTTGTTACGGCTGCGGAGGACAAAAATAACAAATCGGATGAAAAATATATATGGGAGCTATAGCTATATCTGAACCGATTTCGATCAAATTTGGCACACTTATTTTCAGGCCTAATTTGGTTGTATGTGCAAAATTCCATACTATTCGGGCTGATATTACACGTTTGGTGCACAATAAAAGGCAAATCGGACGAAGATTTATCTAAATTTTTACCGATTATCTCCAATTTCAATAGGGTTCGTCCTTGGGCCAAAAATGATTTGTGCAAAATTTCATCTGGATTGGGCAATAAATGCGAACTGTACTTTGTTTACAAAAATACATGGACAGACAGACGGACGGACGGCATAAATCGACTCAGAATGTGATTCTATGCAGATCATCAAAAGGAACTATAGACCAATAGACTCGTTTCCTTTTGCCTGTTACAAACAAATGCACAAAGACATAATACCCTGACCACCTTGTGGTGTAGGGTATAAAAACAAATGATAACAGATTAAATGTAGAGTATTCTATACATAAGCTGATGTAAACTGATTGAAATAAAGTAATTAATAAAATTTGTAGTTAAAATTCAAATTTTCACATCAATGCAATAATAGAGAAAACAATTTCAAATTATTTCAAATTTAGTAATAACAAAATTCATATCTTTGACGCCCACCTGTCTTGAATTCAATTTTGAGTAATAACTTCTTCTTTTGTGTTATATTTTCCAATTGAAAAACTAATTTTTGCATATTTTAAAAGTATATTTAACAGAGTAAGACTCTACTAATAACATTTTTGGTTGCGACATTAGTGGAGGGTATTACGAGCTTTTTATTTTCAAACATTTCCATTTAACCTGCTACTCTTTTTTGGACCTGTAGAATTCAATCATGAAAATGGATAATGCTAAATTATGTTCTTAACAGAGTGAGCATAATTAACATATGAAACACACATACACTTTTGCATCCGAATAATTGCTTTCGATCCAATTTAATCTTTCTTTCCTCTTAAACCCGCCATTATTCAAATGTAACCATGACCCACATTCCAATGAAAACAATGATGGTCGACAAAGATTCATGTGACTTTTAATGGTTAAGCCAACAAAAATCAGATGTGCAAGAGAAGAAGCGATCGGCATATAGAAATAGAGAATTCACAAAAATATGTCATACCATCATTGTTAATACATCTGTGTATGTCTTTTTATTTCCTTTTCCGATGCGAATAGGCAAAGTAATAATGGACAACGAAAGAAGAACAAGAATAAAAACCGCCAATACAAAAGGGGGAGCAAAGAAAACAAAAACAAATGTTACGTCAATCAGATGAAGATGCTTTGCAATTCCGACTGTTTAATGTGTGAAACGGGTGGAAGACTGGCCAAGGGGGTGGTGGTAATGCGAAATGAAATCATTTCGTAAAGGATAGCATAGGACAACAAAAGGAAAACATTGATATTAGAAAATACCAATGTGACAGTAAAATACTGATAGGACTGATGGGGTTGATACCGATGATGATAACAAGTGCTTACATGAACTTGCTTGCATGAATGAAAGTAACTATGGTATGTTGTTGTGAGTGTGTGAGAGAGAAACAGAGAGAGAGAGGTCATGGGAAGTATGAATTCATTAATGGTTGAGCAGAAGAAATGAAAGAACAAGCAGAACGGTCATTTACGAGGTATGATAAATAATAATTGGAAATGGAAAACATAAAATCTACTTTAATTTCATACAGTTTGCCGGTAATTACAAAATTTTATGGTAATTTCTTTTTACTCTATAGAAAAATATGATTGTCAAGTATTTAACAGATAAAGAAATAAAAGTTTAGTAATAACAACTTCAAAGCTATTCAATTTAAAATCAATAAATCATAAATACCAAACTTAGCATTTTGACTGCCACAAACGACGAATGTAGCCGAAAATCATTGAACGATTTTGTTTATCTCTGCCACCACAGATAAATATTACGCCAACGTTGTCGAATCTACTGACATTGATATTTACATTTGTTGATTTATTTATAAATAATTTATTTATAAATGCAAATAAACTGATGCGCCCATGGTAGTAGAATTTAGGTAGTACCATGGACCCAGCTGCTGGAACAATGAACTCACAAATCAATTTTAAAATTGAAATTTTTGAAAGAAAAAATATTCAAATTCTTTAAAATTTTTGGAAAATGCATATCGTAACAAGCTTAGATTGGCGTCGTATAAGAAAACATATAAAATAATACTTATTTTTGCAAAAAAAAAAAACAGTTAAAAAATTTTGACATATCTGTATTCTTCTACCATGGATGCGCCTAAAGAAAAACAATAATCTTTTCAATCGCAAATTTAAAAGTACAACTTTTTGAAGTTGGAAATTATATGGTATATGTTCACAATGTTGATCTACAGGAAGTCAACGAAAAGTACAATTAATAACTAGAACTTACTTTATCCCGAAGAGTTTTGCTCAAGTAGGCATGGTCTTACCAAAACATGAAACTGATGTAAAATCATATTTTGCGGAAAAAGTACATTTCACGATTACTGATTTACATATCTGGAAAGTGTAATGCCTGAGAAATTCGAAAAATGATGGATGAAAAACTCCATGAATAAGGATTGAGTTTTGAAAACCACATTGTAGATTGTTTGCTTGTTTCCAAAATTCCTATAAAAAGAACAGCCAAATTTATGGCTGGAATGGCATGATTCCATAATGATATTTGGCTATATGAGAAATCCTGTTATATGGGAGAAATACGATATCATGGAGCTACATAGACAATACTCTTCCAGGCGGTAAAGAACTCAGAAGGAACTCCTGTTTTGGATTTTCAGACAATTTCATTAAAAAAATTGTCTACAATCATCAAAACACCGAATATCGGGCTGTACCCTTATATGGGTACCCCTCTTTGAACTTAACCTGCCTGCGGGCAAAATACTGATCAGTGCAAAATTTTAGCTTCCTATTATTCGTTTTGACTCTAGCGTGATTACAACAGATCGTATTAGAATTTTACGGCGATATAATTTGTTACATCTAAAATTATTATTTCGATGAGTTACGAACGGAATGACGAATTTAATATACTATACATATGTGGAGGAGTATGATGGGTATAAAAGTTGAACCAACTTCTGTGAAATGTGAGATGGTGGAGGAAACAATGTCAAGTGACTAAGCTGCATATTTTTAATACATTGTTTTAATTATTAAGTAAATACAAAAACACTCACATTTGCAAAAAAAGATTTATTGAATTTTTGTTTTAAGTGTTGTTGTACAATGAAGTAGAACGTCAATTTTTGTTATGATTTTTATTATTATTAGTAAAGAGGTAAAGTAAAGCTGTGAGCAAAGTAGAGTGAGAACTGTATACAGAGGGGTCGTTTGTGAATTATTGTCTTAATGTATTGTACGATTTGTAATCTAAACGTATCCTATTTTCATTTGAAATCGCATTGCTGCCGAACTGCTTAACAATACATACATTTTGTTAGAAACCCTCTCTACATTTGGGAATGTGAAAACATCCGATCTGAACAACTTTTAAAATTGGTTGCATTCTAAAAATTTTAAATGTCAATTGTTATCAATACACTAAAAAGTAAAAAGAAAACAATACTTTAATTTCCAATGAAATAGGACAAGTGAAACCTTGTACTAGTTATTGCGTCTGAAATTGGGGAAAACCAAAAAAAACATAGTTGGATTTTTAGGGTCATTCCATATAATATACATACATATAAAATCGGAGTATATGTTTTGACCAAAGCTTAGATTTGCTCGTTTTTAATTGCGAGTGAAACATACACGCAAACGGAAGTGCTCGCAGAGTAGGATGTTTAATTTCACTTACTTTCCACTCTATCATTCGCGAGTCTCTCGTAAGGCAGAGCGTAAAATGTTTGACTGCAATTTCCCGTAACTCATGCCACCCCTCGTTTTATGCACAAACGAAAATAAATTTAAACTCATGGATGAGTAAATGGTAGTAATGTTATGGAGGGTGGGATGGGGGGTGGTTTCTTGTCACGACAATGGTGATGATGATGACAATGATGACTTTGTCTTCCCATTACTTAATGCGAATATGGCAAAATTTCATGCAACCCGAACTGTGTTATATAATTTCGATTACAATTTCAAAACTTACCTCATTTGTGGTGGTTTCAATTAGTTTCGAATTCTCTGTAACAGCCGATTCCTTATCAGCATCTTGTTGCGATGATGTTTTGGATTTGGATGAATCCTTTAGATTTGTGCTGCTGCCACTGCGACTGCGGTTTCCGCTGTCCATCTTTGAAGATATGACAGATGAGGCGGTGCGTTTGCCACTTACACGTGAATCACTCATAATTTTCGATTATGCTTTAAATTAAACTATTTTGAATTTGGTAACTTTTTAATTTGTTTGCAAGTTTGGCACAGAAAAGCTTTATTTTCTTGCCGTTTCGATCCGAACACACGCAGTTTACTTTTAAGGAATACGCTCACATTAACTCACACACACACATATATACCAACAAACACCCACGACAAGTTTTAGGACATTTTCCTTTTTATTTCTATTTTGCTTTCTCTCGTTCTCTTCTTCTTGCTTTGCTTGTTTCCTTCCTCCTTTCAAATCGTTGATGGATTATATAAAAATGTATTTTTTTGCTTCTCTTTGAAAAAAATGGATTTCTGATTTATTTCAATTTCTTCCGTATTTGCAGCTTCTCAAACGTTCTGTAGAATACAATTTTCTGTTTTTCACTATTCCTTTAAGATTTTAATTAATATACATTTGTGTAATTTTTACAAAAGAAATATACAATTTTTTTACACAAATATTTTCGGGGCACCAACCACCGTTTGATGTCGTGACTTTTGCAAAGGAAACAGGACTAAAATGTCAACGAATAACGGTAAAGAGAAAGTGCCAATATGGTATGAGGATTTGATGCAAGGGTTGCCATTGGTCTTATATTTCTTATTTATAAAAGGAGTGAAAAGCTGATGAACAGATGGCGGTACAATAAAAAAAGTTATATTTTGCGCAACATTCTACTCTATTGCCGTACTGTCATGCCAAAATTAAGAATGTAAAGTCATTTTCAATAAGCATTCCCATCTCTGCATTTTCTGAAATTTACCTTGTCAAATTTCACTGCATAGAAAACAGGTTCCCATCTCTGATTCATGAATATACAATGGATTTATAAATATAAATTTTAACTATGAGATGTTTTCAAAAATGCTGAAAAAATGTAAACATATGATTGCATGACTTTACCTTATTAATTTTGCCATCACAGTACGGAAATAGAGTAGAATGTTGCGCAAAATATTACTTTTTTATTGTACCGCCATCTGTTCATCAGCTTTTCACTGAAATTCTCTCTGAGAGAACTACTTAACGCAGAAAAATGATGGACCAACGCTTCATTTCTTGTTATATGAAAGTGTAAAATGAAAACTTTTATGTCAAATGAAAAATGTTAAAAAGAAAATATTTTTCATTACAAATTTTCATAGAACAAGAAATCGCCACTAGAAAACTTATTTAAAAAATAATGAAATAAAAAATAAAAATGTCGAATCATTTTTAAGTGGCCAAACAACTTGTTGTGTATAATTTTGAATGAATCTGACAGAAAGCAGGCATAGCCTCAGGGCTGTATTTCTGTAGTTTCACGAAGCTGTTCTACCTCCTTATTGTACCATGGGACATTCATTGTAGGATTTTGGAATAAATCTGTATTGTCCTTCAATCCTGTGGAATTCTTTTTTTCGCGGGTTCCATTCTTTTTTCGAGGGTTTTTCCTAATACAAGAATTTGGTTAAAAAAAATGAAAATAAACAAAACCAACTGTTGCATATTTAAAAGTCTATTTGACACTATTAGACTGCAGCACAGAGTTGCAGTTTTCTAATTTCTTTGAAGTTGAGAAACCTTTCTTATTGAGCCATGGTATGTTCCAGTTAAATAGTTAAACAGCTGAAAGGATTTCCTTGCAAAGCATTTTCCCATGGTAGAACAGAGAAGGTAACCTCATGCAATCACGTATGTAATTTTTTTAAAATTATACGTTTGACGACATCTTATTGTCAAAATGTTTATTTTCAAATTCATTGTACATACACAAATGGGAACCTGTTTTCTTTGTCATTAAATTGGGTATTGTAATTTGAAATGAGGTTACCTTGATTTAATTGTACCATGCATTTTCCCTGCAACTCCCGCCCAGTCCAAGTGCCTGCACCATTTTGTTCAATGGTGTGTAAGGTGGTTTACATTATTTTCATCTTCAACAATGGTTCAAATTTAATTTGTAGCTAGTTGCGCGCTCTTTTAGGGAATGTGTTCAGTTTTCCTCATGAGTCATTCGTAAACAACAGAGGTCCTTTAGGGATTTTGCTTTCTGTTTATTTTTTTATCAAGTATACCTTTTTGACCTTTATATTCGTTTCGTTGGGGGCGACTGTAATTTTGGTTTCCCACGCGAGCATTCGCTCTGTTCTGCAACAAAATAGCACGACAGAAGTGGGCGCGCTTTAGAAGCACAACTCAACCACAATGATTCAAGTGCCGTTCCAAAACCTGCAAGAATCTCCTAGTTTTGCAATTTTTTTCGATATCATAAAGGGAAAATCGGTTATCATAGTAAAAACTTTAAACACGAATTGAGGCCCAGGACACATTAGTTGAACAAGAATTTGAAATCGACTATGAATAGTCGAGTACTCGGTTTTCACCCAAGTCCATAGTCGAGTTCGAGTTTCAAAACTTTGAGTACAAGGTAGATCTAACAGGTAACCACATCGGCGAATTGCTACAACAAAGCAACTTTTGTGGTCCCCTCAAATGTCAAAATTGGCATCTAAGGCGAAAAACACAGATTCGCCATGACATTTAAAGGTTGCGGCAAATTTGTTTCATCCAATCAGAAACGAGGTGTTTGTTTACATTTTATTTTGTGTGCCTCTCGTCGTAAACGAACGTCGCAATAAAAGTTTTTATTGTAAAACAAATAAGAGTAAAATAAGTATTAATTGTAGTATTGCGATATTTTTTTAACCAAGAAACTTATAATGACTATATTTTACTGGTTTAAACCGAAAGTTTTCCGAAACTGCAAATGACAAGAGTCGAATTCTTGCACTACTTCCCGTAATGTGCTTTGGGAATCTTAGATGTTGAGGCTAACTTAATTCTTAAAGCTGCACTCCATTCTAACCTCCTTCCTTCATTTTCTTTTAATTTTTTTACTGGTTTCACTCTTAACTTGCTCTTAAATTATTTGAAATATTATAAAAAGGTACTTTTAGGGAAGACAACATAAACAAATTTGTTGTTGCATTCATTTAGGGCGAATTCTTCATTACAACAATTTGTTTTGACATTTAATGGTGCCGTCAGCTGTGCTGATGCGATTACCTAGTACATCTACCTTGTTTGAGTACTAAAGGTCGATTATTCGATTAATCGGGAGTCGACTTACCTAGCCCTACTCTTTGGTTATGTGGTTATGCAGTGAACATTGAGGGGAATTGGCAAACCGCAGAAAATTTCAATAATATTACTTAAAAATTACTATAAAATATTTATATAATGAATAATTTAGCAAAGCAATTGTGTCGCCTTAATATTAGCCATGGAAATTTGCTAAAAAGTCATAGCAACTTATTGGCAAGGAGATCCCCTGCTGTGGCAGCAGCAACGGCCGGTTTTCATACTTCGAACGCGCTTCAGGCACGATACAACAAACATAATACAGGTCCTCAGAAATGGTTACAATATAACAAAGTTGTACATCCACCCCAGGCACCAGAAGAAGAACCCCGAAAAGCGGTAAGTTCAAGCGAGAATGATAGCGGCTAAAACACTGCCAAATATCGTCGATCTTCATTGATTCCGATTATTTGGGTTTGCTTTTCTATATTTTGCAGTATGTCTGTCACATGAGAACAAACATTAAATATAGTCCCGACAAAATGTGGTATATTGCCTCCTTTGTACGCGGCATGTCGGTGGATGAAGCCCTAAAACAATTGAATTTTGTTTTGAAAAAGGGAGCCGTTGATGTCAAGGAGGTTATTCAAGAAGCAATTGAAATGGCCCAAAAGAGACACAATGTGGAATACAAAAGTAATCTGTGGATTGGTAAGCGAATACGACGAGTTTTTAATTTTTAAATCTTTATGGATTTTGTTTTTATTTTTGCAGCCGAATCTTTTGTTGGGAAGGGACGTGTAATCAAAGGTTTCCGCCGCCACGGTCGTGGTCGGTTTGGTGTTGTAGAATACAAACATTGTCATTATTTTGTTCGCCTGGAAGAGGGTGAACCACCAAAGAATTACTACTTACCCAATCCCCAAACACCATCCGAACAATTCGAAAAATGGTTGGAACAAATGCGTATGCGTAAAGTTATCAATTCCCTGTAGTAAACCTGTACAAATTGTAATTTTTAGTAAATATGTATTTGAATTATTTTGTGTTCGAACTGAGCTTGTTGGTTATTATTTGCAAGAAAACCGTGAATCAAGGTATGTATAGAAATTATTTTGATGTTAGCCAACAAGACAAATTAAATTTTCCAGTTCTATTTAATTGTGGTTATTGACATTCCAAGAAAATGTAGTGTTCAAAAAAAGAACATCGTCTCACTTCTTAGTCTTATTATCCGTCCATTTCTAAATATTTTTCCAATGATTCACATGCACGTATTGTTTTAAAAAAGCTAATTTATAAAATTGCTTCTCAAAAATGCTTGACTTTTTATTCAAAACGAAAAGGAACTAAAATAGGTAGGTTTAATTCATAATCCACGCATTCAAAAAACTTAAAGTAGAATTTAACTACATGAAAAAAGCATACACAAGCATAAATTTAGGTACACATTTTCAATTCAATGCTACATCTAAAGTGGATTGGAGAAAATTATTTAATTCATCATTTTTTTCATGTTTATCTCCCTGTTCTACATAATGCTCTATTATCACTGATTGTGTTTCCCTTTCCGAAAATATAGGTTCAATTCCTTTTGTTTTTTGAATACTCTCACTTTCTTTTCCTTCGACTTGTTTAACTTCTATATCCATATCCATTTGAGTCCTTGTTTCCTTTTCCAAAGTATTAGCCTCATTCGCTTTTGTTTGATTTCCACCACTAACATCCAATTCCGAGCATGAATCTTCCACATGTTGGTCTTTTGTCAACTGTTCTGCTACTTCAGCTAATGCTTCCGTTTCGCGATTTTGTAGTCGTTTGTTTAATTCATTATCGGCATCAATGCCAGCAAGTTTTGCAAGATTAGAGATTTTTGGAATGCCAGCATCCTTTCGTTTTTTGCGGTTAACATTTACGCCTTCCTTTTTCCTGGTTTTCACCAACTTGCCCTTGTTTAATACATGATCCCTTTGTATGTGTTTCTGAAGATTTTGTAATGAGCTAAACACACGATCACAATCAATTTTGGTGCATTCAAACTTCTTTCCCTCATGACTGGTGGTAATATGTTGACGTAAATTCCGTTCATAGGCATAACTCCGATCGCATCCTTCATAATGACATTTATATTCACCCGTTTGGCCTTCACCTTCGGATATATGTTTAGCGGCAACATGTTTTTGCAAATCGCTTGGTTTCACATAGGCACTCTCGCAGTATTCGCATTTGTAATATTTACAAGAATGCTGAGTTTCCTTGCAATGTTTCTGAAACAATGTCCATTTTTCAAATTTCTTATGACATGTTAAGCAAGGATATATTTTACAAGATTCCTCATGTTTCTCCCATTGCCATTTCTGATAGAAACCTTTAGAGCATTTCTCACAAGTGTAGGGATATATACCGGTATGTTTGCTTATTTCGTGGCGGCGCATTTTTAGTTTTTGACTAAATTTCATGTCGCAAAATTGGCATTTATACACCTTGGGATTCTCGTGAACTTCACGTATATGCCGATGCATATTTGTTAAACTTGTGAACATTTTGTCACACGTATCCACTTCGCAAGGTATTGTTTTATTCGGCACATCTGTCTTTCGTTCGTGGGTTGTCCGTATGTGCCTCTTTAGATGTGTCAGGATGGAATAGATTTTATCGCAACCTTCGAAATGACACGCATGTTTTTTCTACAAATAAAATTGTTTTTTAATCACATTTTTCGTTGTATAAACTAGTACTCAGCTTACAATTCCCGTATGTTTATATTCATGTCTGTCCAAATGATCCAATCGCCTGAATGTTTGTTTACATCCCTCAAAAGAACAAACATATCTTTCTGCAACGCTATTGCGTCTGGATTTCGGCTTTTCCACTTGCAAAGAGATTACACTCTCCAAATCACTGTCGGAATTTAATGGTCCACCAGGCGGCATGTTTCCGCAATTTATTAAGCTTTTTGTGATAAAAAAGTTTTAACTAATATTCTCTTTTTGGTAGTATTTTCTCCAATGGAAAAATAAACTTCTTAGTAATGTCAGTTTTTTTGTTAATTAGTGTTGCCAACCATAGCAAATGTTCTTATCTATAGCAGGGATACATAATTTGGTAGTATACACTTTGAAAAAGCATGAACAAGAAACTGCGAAATAAATTAGTACTTTTTAAAATAACACCAAATATATATTTTTTTAATTTTTGGTATATTTCTGTTTAAATACATACTTAGCATACTTAGTTTATTACATTTAATTATACCCTCAGTCAATTGACTACAGAGGTTACATATCATTTGATACGAGCAAAATGTGCCGCATCGAAATATCGGCTTTAGAATAGGACGAAATCCGTTGCAGGGAATTTGGAGCCAAACTAGCGTTGTCTGTTCATCCGTCTGTCTGGCTGGTAGCCACGATAACCCTCGAAGGGAGTATCTCGCTGGTGCCTACGATACTTTCAAAAGTGGTATGCGATTCCTTCCAAACTTGGTACATCATAATATAATTATCATGGTAGAAAAATATTTCTACCATGATTATTATCAAATATAAATCGAGTTCGGAGATGAGCAATATCGATCCACTCTTTGTGGTAACTCCCCCACAAAAGGTAGGAGTGTTCATAGAGAATAACTCATCCGATTTTGCCCAAGCTATATTTATATTTATAAATCAATTGTGTACATTGAAATCAGAGATGGGAACCCCTTTATTATTCAGTAGAATTTGACATGGTAGATTACAAAAAAATCGGAGATGGATATGCCAGTTTTTTACCATGGTTTCTTTGTACAAAAACAAAGAAGATTTAGGTTCAATTTCGGCCCATAATTTATATTTGTTCACGCAATGCTTCTTTGTTCTGAAATAAAAAGTAATAAATAATCTACTTTTTTGACTTGTTTGGCTCAATTAGAATTAGCTTAGAAACAAATTTTTAAAGTGTTTTTTCAAAAAAAAAGTAAATTTTTAAATGTCTTCTTATACGACGCCTATCGGAGTTTGTTATGATATGCATTTTCCAACAATTTTAACAAACTTCAATATTTTTTAATTAAAAATTTACAATTTCAGAATTGGTCTGACAGTTCATTGTCCCTGCAGCTGTGTTGATGCAACTACCTCACTTCTTCTGCAAAATCTTCACAGTACCTGCTATATGGATTTTGTATTTAACAATATCTAATGCTGACAATCTTTTGCAATTCAAAATAAAACCGCATTTGTTAATATAGTCGTATCTTTCATATTTTCTAAATTGCAGAAATTATGTTTGTTTTGTTTTAATTTGAAGGTATTTCCTAGTGATTCATTGGCACAATTCACACCAGAGTAATTTTTAGTCCAAACAAAATGTTTCTTTCCAAAACACACGAGACTAAGGAAACTTTCTTAAATTGAATATGTATACACAGCTTTGTGTGTGTTAGTATTTTTTATTTATTTTGTTTTCTTGAGTGTGCATGAATTTGTTTTTCACAAAACGTTCTACCACACAGCAAATGAATGTGCAACATTAAAAGGTGTTTCTTTTTAATTGACCTCCAACGAAACGATCTTTTCGAATGAGCTTATTTTGCATTCTGAAAAACAAACGTTAGCGAAAGATCGAATCAACAACGCCTGCAGCGAAGTTTTATCGTTCGTGAGTTTTTTTTTAATCGTCCTCCGCACCCTGGAAATTATCAATCAAAATGCATCAAAATACAACCTGGCAACTCTATACCCGACATTTAACAACGATTACTACTTACCCAATAATCATTATCCGCAAATTTCCAACAACACTATTTCAAGTTGAATCAAAGGAAAAACAATAAAAAAAGAATTGTGAAAATCGAAATCGTTGCGATTTTCAAATAGCAAAGTTTACGTGTTAAATTATTAGTAAAACAATCCGGATCGAACTAAAATCCAAATAAAAATGGAATATGAAAGTGTCCTCTTAGTAAAACCTGAAGTATTCATATATAAGATTCCTCCAAGAGCTAATAATCGTGGTTACAGGTAATTAATCGCAAAATCCAAGTGCAGTAAATGGTGATGATATTGATAATGGGAGAGAAAGAATACAATCCAATCGGAAATGTACAAAAAAAGAAAGTGTGTCGTCTTGTATATTGTTGATCATTGCTTAAATTATTTGATGAAAATGTTTTCAGCAATTGGTTTACGTATTTTATTCACGGGTAAAAGATACGCCCTCATTTTTTCTATTAAATATCCCATTGTATTTTGCGTTTAACAAAGTAAGAATAAAGATGACGAAAAGTGGCAAATAAAATAATTGTTTATTTGTGGCATTCACTTTCAAATTGACCAAGCATTTGTTTATAAAAATATGTTTGTACTGCTGGCTGTAAATGCTTGCGTGTGTGGGTGTTTTGCTCGTTTTTTTTTTTTTTTTTTGTTCTCATCATGTACAATGTTTGTTGTATTCATTGTTTTACTTTTTTCCAATTTGTTGTTTTGTTGTTGTTGCCTGCTCTTGCAAGGTTAAACTACGTAGACATAAAATAGGAAAGAAAACCTTTTTCCACATGAAATGTGTTGTTGCTTTACCTATAGCGTAATTGTTTTAATAATTTAAGTTCAATATTAATTGATTTTTGTTTCCTTATCAGCAATGAGTTATTGTATGGTTCGTCTTGTCTCTAATAATGAAATGATTCGATTTCATATTTGATGTTGAAATAGTTGTGAATTATTAATATTATGCAATTGTGGGCAGATTTGTTTTAATTCAGAATATTAAGAACATATTATTTCCTTCTCATCCATTCTAAGATTAATATTGTAAGTATATTCACCAGCCTACCAGGCAACATTTTTTTGCTTCCCACTCTGGTCATATTCAAATATCGCTCTGATTGCTAAAGTGATATGATAATTCTATAATTTATTGTTCAATTGTACCAAACTTTTTTTGGGATATTGATCCTTGCTCTAATAAGAAGAACAAATAATGGGAAAATCAATGTTAATCTAATCTGCTTTTAAAACACTATTTTATTTGTTTCTTTTAAGCTTAGATTAGGCGGATTCATTTAAAAATTAGACTTAATGTTCGGGAAAATTTAATACTTTTAATGAATAAGTGTTCCAAAAATGCAAATGAACTCTTATCAAACTTCGCAGTGTCTGACTTCCTGTTTAAATCAAGCAAAAACAAATTGTAAAAAATAAAAATGCAAATCAAGTATTGATGTTGATAACGGATTAAAAAAATGTGTATTTTAAAATTAAAAAATTAATTATTAATTTGATTTTTTTTATTAAAGAGCTGCTGATTGGAATTTGGGAGAACCAACCTGGACTGGTCGCATGCGTTTGGCCGCCAAGGGTACAACATTAAATCTTAAATTAGAGGATAAAACAACTGGAGGTCTCTTTGCTAATTGTCCCATCGACACATATCCTGGTGTTGCCATTGAATCTGTGTCGGATAGTTCACGTTATTTCGTAATTAGGGTTCAAGATGATAATGGTAGATATAATTTCATATTCGTTCAAATTCGTACACTTTTAAAATCATATTTTTACTTACTGTTTTTATTTTCTTTAATAAAAAAGGTCGTTCCGCCTTTCTGGGCTTAGGTTTTGGGGATCGTTCGGATTCTTTTGATTTAAACGTTGCTCTACAGGATCATTTCAAATGGGTAAAGAATCAAGAACAAATTGAAAAAGAAAAAACCCAACCAAAACAGGAATTAGATTTAGGTTTTAAGGAGGGGGAAACAATAAAAATTAATATGAGAATAACGGTAAGTATGCTCATTTAATTTTAAACAAATACGAACCTAATGTATTTTGCCATTCACTTTAGAAAAAAGATGGATCTGAAGGTACCAGTCGTACAAAAGCTAAAACTGGTACAGGAATCTTGCCACCACCACCTGGCGGGTTGGGTAAAATAGCTCCACCACCATCTGGTGCTGGTACAGTGCGTCAAAGTCCGGGTACCTCACCAGCTCATAGGGTATCCGGTAATGCCACGGAATGGACAGATTATGCCTCAGCTGGGTAAGATAATTAAAATTCTTGTAAAATATTAACAAACATCGGACATCTTAATCTGATGTCCTGACTTTGAAAAATATGTACAACACGTCAAAATTGAAACGAAGTGTTCACATTTTTCCGCTTTCGAAGAGAGGTACGGTATCTTTAATGCACCGGAATGGATAGATTATGCATCTGCTGGAGAAAGTAATTGAAAACATGTGTAGTAATTTACTACAAATTTGACATGACATTTGATGTCATGAAAAAAATAGACCATTAAAATGATCGAAATTAATATGAAATGTTCAAAAGTTTTTGTTTTCGAAAGTTTGAACACTTCTCTTATTTCGACATTAGACGACACATGCAAATAGACCTTAAAATATTGTCGAACAAAAAGGCACGATATCCTTTCCAAAACATGAAATTCAGATCAATTCAAATAGTATGACGTGTTCATATAATTTTGATCTTATGATCCCTTGACAATATTTGTAAGGGTTGATTTGATAATATATAAAATCAGCATTGTATCGATCGGCTGTATTCTCTTTGATTCGCTCGCTTAATCGATTGAGCCTGATCGCAATGTGACAGTTGACGTTCAACAATCTGGATAAACTGTTTCACGAACGAATGTTACAGTGACTTTTGCTACTGATAAGAGGATTTAAGTTGGGAGTTACAATACTCTAAATTTGTCTAACTCCAGACTCTTGACCAAGAAGTTTGAAAGTATTTATTTAAATAAATATTTGTCTCGGCTTTACTGTATATATAAAAGGTCGTTTGCAAATTGTTTTGTTTTGACTAATCAATGTGCATTTCCCATTATTTGGCATGCGGTACTGAATCCTATGGAAAGAGATATCAGGAAAATTTATATTGAATGATTTTTACTACTTCTAGTACAGTCATCTTAAATATATTTTCTTAATTCTTATTTAATTTCACAGTTCTGCGCCAGCTCAAAATCAGCAACAAAGCTCATCAAATGCTAATTGGGTGCAATTCTAATTCTATTCGTATTGGAATAATATAGAGAGAACAGAGTTAGAGACCGAGAAAAAAGAGTTTATTAGTAATAAATCATTGCTAGAAAATATAATATAAAAATAACAACAAAAACATTCGAATAGGACACAATACGAATTATATTATAATCAGAAGGAGAAAAATAATTAAGATATAAATTCAATATATACATTAAATATACATTTAATTGCAAAACAAAATATATACATATATGGAAATACAAAATTAGATATAAGGAAAAAACAAACAAAAACAAAAACAAAAAAAAAACAACAACTATGGATATTCGAAACAATATAAGTTGTTATTTCTTTACACACAAAAAAAATCAAATAATATTCGTTCCACAACAACAAAATATGAATAAAATTTAAAGAATTTTGTTTTTTCTGGAAATATGAAAAAGTTCATTAGCTAACCATTCCCTCATTGCCCACGAAAAAAGTAAGTGCAGCTGCCTTCTAGCCTGCTCCCACCACACAGATAATTACTATACACTACTATTTGATGTGAAAAAGCTGCAGTAGTTCTACTGTTGCAGACTCTAGAGAAGGCAATATTATTCAAAATTATTAAAAATGAAATTTACAATTTGCTTAAATGTTTACCATATTTAGGATTTATTAATAATGATAATAATAATAACAAGTTTTATGTACATTGTTACAAGAAAACAAACAACAATAACAATAAACTGTATGTATGTATTATTTTACATTGTTATCTCAGTTTATCTACTTTGTATCTCTATATACCAGTATATTTAAAGAAAACAAAACTGTACTATTAATCTAACACGAATGAAATAAATAATACAAATACTTTATGTTTTGTTTTTTTTTTTAATTTATTTTTATGTAAAATAATTGTATGTACTTATTTACAACCAACAATAACACACATACAAACTCAAGACAACACCTCAAAACAACCTATACTATTACTATTACAGAAACAACAATACTACTACTATATAAAATTATTTTCCATATTGCCGTTTTTGCGATAATTTTTTTCTTATTTTTTATCCTAAATGTTAGCTTAAATGTTATAGTTGAAAACTTGTTTTTTTTTTTTTTGTATTTTTCAAAATATTTTTATGCGGTTGATATCATCTGTGAATTCGAATTATATTTTAGCTTTTTTGTTTAACATTCCTCTTATTGAAACAGTATGTAAAATTAATTAAATAAGTTGAAATATTACTATATACGATAATGTGAAAAACTTTATGCAAAAATTCTTGCTAGTGCTCTGTAAAGTAAAAAAAGAAACAAAGAAACAGATTCAATTGAAATATTAACATAAATATTTTTTATTCTAGATTATTTTTATTATAATTATTATTGAAATTTAATCAAGTTAATCTATGTAATTAAACATTTTATTATTTTGAGTTTATCAAATATAATAAATTCCATGAACATACTTCAGTGTATTTTTATGTTAGTGAGACAGTGGGATTTTAAGCTAGGTCACTATGCACTTTCATAGTTCAATGGTTCACACAACAAAGGTTCCATCTGCATTCAACTAAATTTCCAAAAGTGGCATTTATTATGGGGACTACAAGTATAGAAATAAAGCGAGCCACAATTTTGAATGGTATGAATTCCCTAATTCAAAATCGATCGTTGTTCCGACTTCAGATTCCGAACGATTTGGCGAACTAGGAAAATCTCAATTTTCAGTGTAAAATATCGCAACATTAAAGGAATGAAAGAACGAATGAATGAGGAATTTAAATAAACCACATGATTCCAAAACACTGTAGAAATAGAAATTGTGAAAAATATTCTGTTAAAGTTTTTTTTTTGTGAGAAAAGAATTTTAATTTTTTTATTTTTTACACAATGCCGGGAGCTTCGATTGTTTCTGTAATTGTGGCGAAAAGTAATGAACACGATACTGAAAAATACACAGGAGGAATTTCATAGATTCTTCGGACCCCTTGTCTTACCCCAGTGATGTGTGAACATTTTAATTACAAGTTTAATTTTAACTTATAAATAAACTCCTGTGCTTGCGCCTAAATGGTTGAAACGCAAATTATGATTTTAACATGGATAATTCATGGTAGAACCATAAAAAATTAAGAAGGTAAAGTCATTTTAAATAAGCAAACCATCTCTGCATATCTTTTACCTTGTCAAATTTCACTGCAGAAAAAAAGGTTCCCATCTCTGATTTGAGTATTTACAATGGATTTATAAATATACATTGAATAATGAATAATTTAGAAAAAAAAGTATGCATGACTACCTTCTATCATGGGTAGAACCAAGAAGGTAAGGTCATGGAATCATATGTTTATTTTTTTCCAAAGAGTATAAAACTCCATACTTTTTTCCAAAGGAGTATAAAACTCCAGAAACCAGACAAACCTATTGCTGTAGAGTCCAATCAGCTGGGTTTTGCTGCTACCTAGTAAGACCCATGTTGCAATAAAAAGGTAAGAATAAAAGAAAAATACATTGCGGGGCACGCATTGAATCTATTAACCAGTTTTGCCATGGAATTGAAAGTTTGAACGGTATTTTTCAGGCTTTACACTAGTACAAACGAACTGTTGTTACATACGCAAGTGTTAAATTGTCTAATATAAATATGCGGGCTGAACACAAAGAAATTCATTATATACAATTTCCTTCATGGTAGAAGGATATAGGTAGATGCATCAACGCTCGGAAACATTGATATGTCAAAAATTATTTTTTTTTTTCAAATATAAGTAGATTTTTTATGTTTTCTTTTAAGACGCCAATCGTAGGTTGTTATGATATGCATTTTTCAAAAATTTGAATAATTTTTCTTTCAAAAATTTCAATTGCAAAATTTGTTTGACATTTCGTTGTAACAGCAGCCGTGTCGATGCGTCTACCTGTATTCTTCTATCATGATTTCCTTCCTTTAACTTAAAGTTATTTTTCATAGTATAACTTGTTGTGTGAACCTTAAATCATCTGTTTTTTAGCTTTGTCTCTTCCTTATTCTAAAAGGTGGCATATTATGTTGTTTGTTTGTTCATCCATTCGTCAACAATGCAAAAGACCGAACTAGACCCTACAATTTTGTTTAGTGAATAGTTTCAATGAACTGGTCGGGAACTGAGCGACACGACACTTGTTTTGATGATTTTTCGTTGTTTAAATTAAAACAATAAACAATAAGGAAGGATAACTGTTGCCTTTGGCTACAATGTATACACTGCTACATGGTTTCTATAAATATCTAACGCAAAAAGACGAATATTGTGTTGTTATATTGGGTCTGGACAATGCTGGCAAAACGGTAGGCAAAGTGGAATGTGAAAGATATTGATGTGCATGCTTGATTAAAAACTTGTTACCATTACAGACATATTTGGAGGCGGCTAAAACAAAATTCACAAAAAACTATAAAGGAATGAATCCGGGCAAAATTACCACAACAGTGGGTCTAAACATTGGTACTATTGATGTGCAAGGTGTACGTTTAAATTTCTGGGATTTGGGAGGCCAACATGAACTGCAGTCATTATGGGATAAATACTATCAGGAATCACATGCCGTAATTTATGTAATAGATTCCAATGATCGAGATCGTATGGACGAGTCAAAAGTAATTTTTGGTACGTTTACTCTACAATTAGTGATATGATGTCATTATTTGAAATATGTATTTTTTAGTAGTGAGAGTGAAATTTTGGGTGTAATATGCTATGCTTTTGCATGTAAATTTTTTTGATATCGTCCTAATAGATATCGATGTCTTGACAAGGAATTATACAAAACTTCATAGACCTTCAAAATTATTATTTCTGAATTTAATATTTGTTCGTTCACCTGTGGTACGATTTTTTGAATTTTCTTCATAGCTACATGATTTGCTGATGTTTGTAAACATCCCTTTCATGTGTTGAGTGGTCCGTGTAACTCATGAATTTTAGTCACCAAATCTAGAGCATTTATTTAATTTAATTAACAAAGTGTCCGGTAATTGAGTAAACGTTTAGTGAATGCATTATACCAATGGTTGGGTTATAATGAAGCTGTCAAAGATTGCATTAAAATGATTGAATACAAAAAAATGAATTACATATTTTTTCTACAACAACTGCAAAAAAGCAAAGCAATTGCAAAAAAAAAAAGATGACAACTCATATTATTTTGACAAATGATTGAATAGTATATTTGGACTCAAGCATTTGCTGGGAAATTCCATATGAGTTTTAGACTGCTTATCACTCACGAAATTTATTGATCATCAAATCCTAATGTCCCGAATTCAAGGCACGACGTAACAAAAATCAACAACACGCTAACTATATAAACCGATAGGCATGCGGTCCTAAAAACCAAGTTTTGTATAATAATATCTTGAGCACTGAACGCAATATTATATTTTTTTCAAATCCTTTTTACAACTCTCCCTTAAAAGTTTGTTTTTTGTATTGTTTTGTTTTGTATGCTATGTTGTAAATTACAAGTAATGTTAAGCCCTCATAAAATGGCGAATGGTCCGATTTGTCTATAATTTTGGTTTTTGACTGTTGGAGGTATATCTTTTCCTGTGTCAGTTACATATTAGCTTTCACTTTGTTTTCAGCTAACAATTTCAGAGCAATAAAGTTAATTTCTCTTTTCAGATAAAATGATTAAAAATGATCTGTTATCTGGTGTGCCGCTACTCATCTTGGCAAATAAACAAGATTTACCTGATGTTATGGGTGTTAGAGATATCAAACCAGTGTTCCAGCAAGCCGGTGGCTTTATAGGTCGTCGTGATTGTCTGACAATACCAGTATCGGCATTGACGGGGTTTGTGTTACATACGCTATTTTTTGTTTGCATTGTATAAGTTAATATTTATTTATTTATTGACAGGGAAGGTGTAGATGAAGGCATTAAATGGTTAGTAGATGCCATAAAGCGACACTCCATTGTGCGACCCCCACGTGTTAATGACTGATCATTGGGAATGTTGCTAAGCGAAAGGCAATTGGACATAAGTGTATTAGAAGAGATCATTTCCAATTCTTTTCTTTCGAAAGAATGCCTAATTATTTCTCTCATAAGCTTTGTAAATAATTATAAACTAAATATACATATACTAATACTATTTATAACGTATATACAAATATATAAATTATTATATTACTTAAATGTAAGTTTAATAAAAGTGATTTCAGGGTTGACAAAACTACATTTATTCCTTAATAAATATATAGATATATTATTTTCCTAAAAATTGTATTTAACTTTTTTGAAATATTTCAATTCACTTTATTCCATTGGCTTCCCTATATTACTTACAAAGAGTTGATTGTTTACTTAACAGGAGGAATGTTAGTTTTGTTAGTACGAGTAACTCAAATAGAATATGTCAATTGTCTAAATTATTTCGTTCTCTATAATTCCATATGAATGTTTGAGCTATAATAATTAAAGCAATTCTTATCATACCTACGTTTATTAGTAAACGAAGCAGTCATTCTTAAAGATAAGAAACCTATTCATTCTATACACTACGCTAAACAAGATTGTCGTGGAACAGAAGAGTTGTCTTTATTTCGGTTTCTTCCTTTAGTATGGCAAATAATATTTGAAAATATACTGAAAAGGAATACTCACTTTTCCAATTGCTGAGTAGAAATTTAAAACATTTTAGGGTATGCAAATATTGCAGTTATAATGCCATTGGTAATGTAATGTAATAACTAAGTCGGACACACTTACAAAAAAATTGTAATCAGATGTTAGCTCTACCTTACCTTTTTATTGTACCATAGCGGAAGCTTGCAACTAAACAGCTGTTTTGTCAAAACAAACCAATTTGCCCTCCATTAAAAGAACTAAAAGAAAGGAAGCACCACAAATTTTACAAGTTTTATAAGTAAAATGGAAATTAGCAAAAAAATTAACAAAAAAAATCAAATTGAAAGCACAAAAAGAAATAAACAAACAATAGAAAACATCTGATTGAATGTCGATGAATGAGAAGAAGAAGAGTTGCAAGTCAATTGCAAGAAGAAATTTGTCCAGCAAGAATTTGCAAACTCTCACTAAAAGAACTTTCAAATTTTATGTTTCCAACCACTCTCCTTTGCAGAACTTGCGGGTTAACAGACGACTTCCAGTAACAATTGTTACAAATTTTAGGGTAACCAGACACACCTAATATTAACCTGTTTTGCCGTGGAATTTAAATATTTCCACAATTTGGAAGCTGTTATACTTATTGTATCATGTTCATTTTCGAAATTATTTTGTAAAAGTATGTTTTGACACTTCAAGGCAATCAACGGAAAAAAGTATTCAGATCGCTATTCCATTCTTTGGAAATTATTTGACCATGGGCTTTGTTGATCCTCTGTAATGTACTGTCATTAAAAGACATGCTACTGATTGTACTGTGCTCACCTGTATTTGCATTTAATTGACTGTGTTGAAATATCTACTCTCTTATCCTCTCCCATAAATGGTTGTTTTTGTTTTACTCCAGATAGATAAGAAGTTCCGTGCGTATGTTGTATATTTCTATTCTTCAAAAAAATGTCTGAGAGTTTCACATTCGTGCTTTGTTAAGGTGTGAAATAGTCGGTGAATTAAAAAAATTGTTTTAAATTTGGGTTTAACGGATTTAAAAACTTCATTCAACAGCGTGTTGAAATACCATAATTTAAAGACGAAAAGTTCCAAATAAAATTCGTAAAACTATGATTTGGAAGATGTTTTTGTGTGATTGTACCAGAAATTAAACGCCCCAAAGAAGATAACAAAAAACAGCAGGTGTTATCAGAAGAATTTTTACGTATATGGGCCAAAATAAACGAAGTAAAGAAAGTTGTGTCACTTCAATCTGATATTGTGTAAATAAATTTAATAAATATTTATTAGATACAACAGAAAAAAACGTGTCATTGATTTAGAAATTTTATACTTTCTACAATTTTGTTTAACAAAGTCTCTAAAAGTTGGCAATAAATATATAAATATTGTGATAATTCACTATTCAAAATGTATCCATATTACGAACAAGAATGGAGTGTATTGCCGCCCGATAACAATCGAAGGTGAGTTATTTTGTGTAGCCAAACATTTGCCTAGATTGCTTCAATTTTGAAGCAGTTTAAAATAGATCAATTCATAGTCAATTTGGTTGAATGAATTTAAACCCAAATTTTAAATGAAAAATAATTTAGATTAGCTAAAGTTATTGATAAACACATATATACACCTCTGAATAACTTGTATATTTTTGAAATCAATATATTTTTGCAGAAACTTTTTATTATTTTTGACATACCAATGTTTACTAATGCTGATGCATCTACCTGTATTCTTCTGCAATGGTATAGTATTTACATGAGCTATATAAGGTTGCCCAGTAAGCCCATTTGACAACTAAGTTTGCTGTCAAAAAGCAAATTGTGATTTGAAATTCAAAGAGAGTCAACAGTAGTCTTCTTTGCCGACCTTATGTAGGTCTTTAGATTTAGGTAGATTCAACTAAAAAATTTTTGAAAAACAAAGTATTTCTTTCATGATTTTAAATTCGTCATAGTGCTATGGCAAAAAGATACATTTTGATAGTTCTTTAAGTTGGGTAAAGCTTTTTTATGTACAGCTGCGTAAACGCGTAAATTATGTACAGCAGTAAAGCAGCCTTTAACATTTCTTAAAATTAGCAATTATTACGGTAAAGGCATGGTAGAAGAATAAAGGTAGGTGCATCAACGCTTGGGAACATTGATATGTCAACAATTTAAAAATGTTTTGAAAAATATATATATATATTTATATGATTTCTTATACGACACAAATCGGGGCTTGTTTTGATCAAAATGGTCAATTCCAAAATTGGTTTGACAGATCATTTTTTTTTAATTTTTAATATATCATTGTTCCCAAGCGTTGATGCATTCTTCTACCATGGTACAGCCTAGAATAATAATCATGGCATAATTATTACAGGTAGCAGTAAACCCCAGCTGATTTAATTCTATGGGAACTAGTGTCAAATTCGATATGACGTTCTGTCTTTTGTACAATGTATTTTGTAAAATGTATATTTTTGATATTAAATGTATAAAAAGTATGAGGTGTGTCTGGTTACTTTTCCAGCAGGAATTGTCCAGCAACTTCTTTCTGAGAGAGTAGGGTAGTTTTATTCTCTTTTGCAAGGAAAATGCAAAAAGTAAACAGACGCTATTCCTGCAGAAGCTTGCAACTAATCAGCTGATTTGTCAAAACAAACCAATTTGTCCCCCATAAGGAGAATTAAAACAAAGGAACCAATACTAATTTTACAAGTTTTTTAAATAAAAATGTTGGAAATAGTCTTTAATTTTCTTATTACATATTAATATTTACTTTTTTCACATTTTGTAAAGTTGTTCTTCAAAAACAATTAGTCTTGCTAATTCCAAAACAATATTTTCAAATTAAAATCACAAAAAGAAATAAATAAACAATAGAAAACATCTGATTGAATGTCGATGGATGAGAAGAAGAAGAGTTGCAAGAGATTGCAAGAAGAAATTTGTCCAGCAAGAATTTGCAAACTCTCACTGAAAGAACTGTCAAAATTTCTCTCTCCAACCGCTCTCTTTTGCAGAACTTTTGGGTTGACAGACGACTTCCAGTAACAATTTGTAACAATTGTTACAAACTTTAGGGTAACCAGACACACCTATTATTATTAATGTAGACATTGCTTAACTACAAATAGTTGCCATGTCTGGACATCTACGTTACATTAACCCACTAACTACATTTTTTCAAATTGGCGAAATTTCGGTTATTGGTTACTTGACACCACTTATTAATATAAAGTAACTTTATACTGTCATACATGCAATCTGGCCACTCTCGCCGTTTGACACAACATAGTGGTTCTTTTTACTGCACTGAAAATTTTCGGAAATCTTTTTAATGTTAAGCAAAGTTTAAATTATTCCATTAATTTACGTTTGTTTTGTTCAAAAACATATGTAAAAATATCCGTCAGTGTGTGTGCGAACCGAAAAAATATAAAGTTTTGCAATAAATAACCCAAATGTTGCAGAAAAAAATCAAGTGAAAAAATAAGTCAAGGAAAAAAGAAGCGAAGAAAAGAGGGAGAGCAACAAAAAATTTGTCGTGTTGTTAAAAAAAGGTTGGCTAAAACGACGAAGAAGACGGTTAACAAAACGATGATTTTTTTGTGTCTGAAAGGAAGTTTGAGTGTGATGATGATGAAATAATTTAAATGATCGAAGTGCAATAAAAACGAATTGTTTGTGCGTTAATTATCAATAAACAAAACGAAAACAGAGTAGAAAAATTGCGAAAATGTGTAAACAAAAAAACACTGCCGACAGTAAAAAAATATAAAATTGACATTTCACAGATAAAACAAAACTAACTACTATGCTCAATTAAGTTCTCGTGTTCTCTTTATAGAAAGACATTCCATAACATGATGACTACCTCCACACCACCTTATTACTGAAACACCTGTCATAAACATCGTAACAAATTTGGTCAAAAACAATATGGGTTTCTTAGGTTGTTTCGAATGTGTGCTGCCCCAAAGTTTTCCATGAATGTACCGCGCGCCATTTGTTTAATATTCCCTGCCTAAGAAGCTTAAATTATTCATAACATATCCTGCCCTCCTTTTACTTGCGCAGAGGAACGCTGCTTTTGAGTGCTACTATTTCATACTTGACCATTTTTGGTGTATTTGTGTGTTGGTTTATCTGTTCTCCCTTCAAAGCTGTTACCACCTTTCCAAAAAAATTAAATTGTTTTTGCTTGGCTTTATGTTGTTCTCGTTTTTCTATCCAATGTCATTTCAATTGTAAATACCCACAAGTCTACAAATGCATATTGGAGGCGGTAATCTACATTGGTTTTGTACGTAACTTTGTTTTGTTTTGTTCTGTTCTATAGGCTACTATTTGGATTTAAGTAGGTATAAGACTGATATTTGAATTGGATTAATTGTGAGTGTGTATCGAATTACACTTAATATTACTAATGTGGTTATATCTGTGTTTGACAAACCATTTTTTACATGAGTAAACCGTGTGTAGAGATTTTTCAACAATTCTCTTGTTGCCCTGTTTTGATAAAAAGAGAAAGTGATGCCAGATGTTAGAAATTACATGTGAACTGGGGTGTTTTTAGTTTTTTTTTTAATGTGCTTAATATGAATATATCCGTATACAAACGTTTTAATTATGAATCTTGTCTTTACATATTATAAAGATCTTAGATTTCCCGTTCCATCTGACGGTGAAATATCACCTCCAAACTTCCAACCAGTACGGGTTTTTCTGTCAAAATATATACACAGTTTATATATATATATATATGTGTATTGTTTTAAATAATAAAGAAAAAACTTGAAATTATTACAAATTAAGCTGCAACACAAATGCATATTTTCAATCTATACAACCATAAAACAATATTGTCCCCCTATTTTAGAGTTCTGAAATAACACAAACATTCCATTCATGTTTTGTGGGGTTTCCCCAATACAAATTTTATGAAAAATGTATAATGAACAAAACCAATTGTTGCATGTCTATTTGACACAATAAGACTCCAGTACAGAGTTGCATTTTTCTATTTGCTTTGAAGTTGAACAACCTTTCTTATTGAACCATGGGTTAAACTGAACTATGTATATATTTTAAGTCTATCCAAACAGTTATAGTTTTCAATCATATATTAATATGGTTAAAAATTGATTATGTTCTTGTTTGAAAAATATATTATCGAGTTACAAAAAGAATGTCTCAAAATATAGCCGAACATTGTATAAATCCCAAACAAAGTCTGTAATTTTAAATTCCTCAAGCCATGCGGAAGATTGTGTTTTGTTGACGATATTTGTCCTTGAAGAGTTAGATTGGTATAAGTTTCAGCTAAATTTTCGATTTGATTTATAGAATAAATTGGTCATGAAGTCGTTTGAATATCCACTTAACTACTGTTTCAGCGATGTCACTTTTCAATGTTTGAATCTGGTTCCGTGACATATGGCAACCCTTTTAAGAAAACTTTGCATAAGAAAATTCTCCAAAAGTATCTGTCAAATTCATTGTTTTTGTTGTCTCATCGTTTTGGCCATAATTGAAGGAAGGCAGGAATAGTATGAGAGAGAGCAAACTTTTTTGATACGGTAGCAGCAGTAGTTAGCGATTGTCACAACGCTACGCGGCGGAAGAAGAGTTAAACGGGAATAAAATAACAACAACGACGACAATAAAAAAGATAGCTACAGCTGGCTGGATAGAAAACGATACAAAAGAAAGAAGACGAGGAAAATGAATACTATAAAAATGTGTGGCACGTATAGAATAATTAAACACAAAGTGATTTTTTCATTTGATGTATTATCGTCGTAAAACATTATTGTGTCTCTGCCGCTGCATGCAACAAACCTACCCGCCGCTGCCAACGTTTCAGTCGTAATGTGTAGAATACCAAGGGAATATCCATGTAAATCTAAAATATAGTCTATGACCTCTAGTACAAAATACAAGTCAATTTGTCTGTCTTCCGTATGGTATGTACGTCGGTGCTACCACGTCCGTTGCTACCACGATGTAGGTAGATAGGTAGTTGTGAATAAATATATGTGGTAGTTGTTAACACAGTATTAACGAGTTAAGACGAAAATTGGTTTCGAGTGCAGAATACGATGATGACGGGGGGTTTTTAACAAATGGCTTTTATATTTCCAGTAAATACTGACCGACCTCCCCCTCATGTTTGTTCTGCAAAAGAATCATAACAATGGGTCACACACACATAAACGAACAAACAAAATTGTGTGATATATTTGCAAGAGACCGGATAACAAAACTCTGATATTATAAAGATGAAATTATTTTGGTCCATTATTGATTTTCTTTAGACTTCTCTTAGATGCTGGTATAATGTAGATTTTATGTGTGCATGGTTAACGTGAGTAACCATATGTCATATTCCAATTGAGTCGAAGTTTGAATCCAAACGGATTTGGTCTCACTTGGATGTGTATGTGTTTAAATGTTTTTTAAACGGTAAAAGTTAATTCTTTTGTACAAGAGGCGAGTCTCTGACCTATGGCTTCTTGCAGAAATAAAAAACATTGTTAGTCCATTCCCTTTAGGGTTCAATTTTCACAAAAACTGGCAATATAAATTTTTAGATTAATTCAAGTTATAGAAATAAGCCGCATTTTTGTAACTCTTAAAAAATATGATCTAAAGATTTCTCTGGCATTTTTATGTGCATTTTAATCACTCAACATTTGTCGTAATTATTATTTCAGTTACAAAACCTTTTAAAGTACCCAAACGACTTACGGTTTTATAATGACCAATGTAAATACGGTGGTTATGCATCTAGCTTAAATTGAGGCAACAAAACCATTTTTCTAATATTTACTTTACACTCCAATATCGAATATCTCAATTCATTGTTTATTTCTTTTCACTTGCTCTGGAGCGAAACAGTCGTGCCCATATTCGAATGTAATATGTAAATTGAAAATCTCAATTCAAAATTGTATCAGTATCAGAATGTCTGTCTCAGTTGTAAAATGCTTTTCACGATTAACAATAATGATTGGGTCGTTGTGTATACAGTCAAGTCATCTTAAACGCAACATCGTTAGTTGCAAATTGTATTAAATACTGACCTTATTCAGAGAAAATAACCATACAGTTTCCAAAATATTCTAGACATAATTTTGTTCTTTAAAATATTTACGTATATAGTGTAGAATCTTAAAGGTCTGATATTTTTAAAATATTGTTTATGCGTATTATTAGTTTGGAGAAATTATCGTATGCTAAAATCTAACTGACTTTTGCTAGTACATTTGTTTCTGTTTTGCGTTGTTACCAATTGATAAAATGAGAGTGAGAATTACATTCGAAAATATTAAAACAAATCGACCGCTAAAAAGAAAAAAAATCGGAACAAAAGTAAAACGTATTGCAGTGTGTGAGTTAATTAAGATCATTCAGTTCATTGACTAAGCTTCAAAGGCAAGTCTAAAAATAACCATGTTTCTCCAAAGCTATTGGTAGGCATCGTCATCACCACATTCCGACGTTTATTGAAAGCCATGAGAGGTTTTGTGCAATACCTTTAATATATATGTACCTATATATAAATTGTTTTTGTATATTTTTTGCACATTGAAATAGAATACAAAAAACAACAACAACAACACACGGAATAATACACCATTTAAAACAAACAATATACCTACAAGCCACTTGAAAAAAGTGGCAACAACAAAACTACCAACCAATACTTAAAGCATCCCGTTTAAAGTGATTCATACATAAGCTTAGGCACCGCAACGTATTGTTATAGCCGTCGTCGTATTCGATCGACACTTTCATCGTCATTATTAAAAATTAAAAAAAAAACACAATTGTCATTATCATCGGCAATAGCAGAAATAGTGGAAGCAGCACCAGTCACCACAATATTGACATTGGCTGTTTCTGAACATAGTTTTTGTTACAGCCTTCGTCTTCATTATCGCCAAAAAATCGTCAGCCACATTGGATTGCAAGTAAAAATACCGCAGCAAGTAATATCAGCAGTCCAATATGAATACAGAGCATGGGTAATATTTCTATATATATATTTCTTTAATACCTCTTCATGTAATATTTAGAAATGTAATGTTTTTTTACTAAAATTTTAATTTTTTAAACAACCTCTTCAATATAAGTATTATTTAAAAATACAATTTTTGTTATTTATCTAAAGTTCATAACAAGATTTATATCTTTATATAGCTCGTAAATAGTCCTATTTCATTTCAATGGCTCTTTCCAACAGTTTGGCCTGAATTCAAGGATTAATGCTTTACTGTTGTTGATTTTAATGCGTCAATTCAAGCGGGCTCATCCGTGACATTGTGACACAGGACTTCTAGTGTTCAACCGCGTTCTTTCTCTATATCCGAAAACCTTCCTGTAAAATATACAGCTCTTTTTTGTTTTAGGCTTTTTCCGATTAATTGTGTTGTGACTTGGGCCGGTGCATTTCTTTATCGAGTTACTGTGAGCTGTTAATATGTATTTGGCGTAAAAAAGTACTGAACGGGCGTTGAAGCAAAGAATGATAACTTCTTATGAAATGAAATAATTATATTCCCTCTTCAGTAGTGGAATTCTTTAACTCCATTTCTGAATTACCGGAAAAATCAATAAACTTCAAATGCTTATATTTTGGTAATTAACGACATTTGTCGGTAAGTTAGCAACGAAACTACTGTTTTCGCTAAGGTCTACTGATAGATACCAATGTTGTCAACTATTATTTCTTTTTTATATAAAAATTTTGCATTTGAAAGTTACCGATTTTTGTCGGTAACTCATGAAATGAGTTAGAAAATCCCACTACAGGAAGCTTTTTATTGACCAAAAAAAGTGTCGAAATAAAACATAATTCTATGTTATTTGTGTGAAGAACATCTTTATAGGATCCAATGAAGCTTTAGTTTTTCTTTGCCCTCCAATCACAAAACATGTCATAATTTGCACGCATATCTAATATTTACAACTATAGAATTGCCCTTAATAAATCTCGACAAAAAATATTCTTATCAATGATTGATAGTCTTGTTAATGGCCGATTAAAATCAGATCAATTATTTTATAAACAGTGAACTGTTAAATATAGATCGCCTTGATATTTTAATAACATTGGAACTACCAACGTAATTTCGATAATCAGATTAGAATATTTTATTTTTTAAAGTTTCGATAGGCGATAACATATGTTATTTCGAATTATTATATTTTAGTTATATTTAAGTACATCAATCGGCTTTTTGTAAACTGGGAGAATTTGTAAACATCAAACCCATGGCGATTTTTGAATATAGAAATCCTCCAAAGGCTTAATTGTTGTTGGAAATAAATATCGAAAATATTTGAAGTCAACTTCTGCAGTAAAATAATTAGGAAAATCGACTTGAAAATATTGCTGATCACCATTACATCGTAACATTGATTACTTCGGTTCTTGTGTGGACGAAGAAGGACACTTTAACTAACGAGAACATAATGTGTATATATCCATTTTATGTAGATGAGAGAGCAAAGTGTTAGAAAATTTAACCATCTCCGATGTTGAACTAAAAACCCACCTTCAATTTGAACATATGTATAAGAACTTGAGTAATCAATTATATCACATACAAAGTTGCAAGTCCTCAAGCTATATTGAATAGCGTTCACTCAGATGAAGTTCCAGATGCCATTAATACAAATCGCGTGATGCCGTACTGGGAGCACATTTTACGAGCCAGGGTTGTTTTGAGTAGCAATATTCTGAATGGTGCAGCCGCAGCAAAACCTTTTAGTCAAATATTGACGAAGAAGTGCAAAACATCTACCCTTTATGAGATACTAGTGAGCAAGACGCACAGGACATTTTCTTTTCTTTTTCAATTTGAAAACAGATATTCTGACCTTTTGAATAAATCTCATCGATCTGGAACCAATTCTTTTCAACAAACTTACGATTTGTATAAAATACAAAAGTAAAGGATCGGCTTATGTCGAAATAGGAAAGCCACGTCACCAATGAAAAAAAAACACAGATAGTCACAGACAGTAAAGTCTTTTTCCAAACAAAATGAAGATTTTATATACTCTTTGTATATAGTGCATTTCATTCTTGAAATAGAATCATATATTCATACAAAATGTTTATCTTGTTTTTTTTTCGGAGTCACGAGACCTAATAAAAATTTCGTGACATTAGGCCTTTATTTACGCTCTCCATCCTGCCCAGAGGGTATTCAAAACAACGTTGGAAATTTAGCTTCATGTATATATTTTGCTATACCTCCGATATCTGACTATATACGTCAATGAAATCGGCATTAATTTATAAATAAGAAGTGTCCTCTTCGATTGTTTGTGATTTGACGAGTATAGACTTGCAGCGTTTGAATTGAAATCTTGGCAGTTCTCACACAAATGTCATGGTTCATTTCGCCCTGTAAATATTATCCAATTACTACCCACGTTGTGACCCATAGAGCGACTGCACAATGAGGTGCGTTTTTATTTTCGTCCATTTCATCTCCTAAATATTTTACGGACATCTCCAGTTCCATTCCGACCCTAACCCAAACTTCCTACAAAATTTTTTGAGAATCGGGTCACAACTGCGATCATTCTAACAAATAAACATGTGTAGACGGACGGACACACATGGCTAGACCGACTTAACTCAACGAGGTAGAAAGATCGATATACTACTTGTTGAGTCTATAATCAATTTTCCGAAATGTTACAAATTTTTTGGCCTAATCAAACTTATAATTAAACACTCAACACATCGAGTTGCATTGTATAAATAGATTGTTCCCGCTAGAAGTGGCTAAGTAACGAGAATACTTAATCCACTAACTTAGTATCTGAGTTAGCATAAGGCAAATCAAATCACCGAATATCTTAAACGTTGCTATAGTACAAGTTTTTCTACTGTCTTAAATTATCGGCTGGCCAATTTGCATGTAATTACAAAATTTTTTTTTTTTTGGATTGAAGATCAGGCGCATGCCGCACAGCATGCGTAACAATGGATTTATTAAAAGGCGACTTCGGTTAGCATTTTAATTTACGTTAGGGACTGGTCAATTGACCACCTAGATCGTGAGATTTAAAACCTTTAGACTATTTTTTGTGGAGTTTTGTTAAAGCTTCTGTCTGTACAGATGAGCCCACTTCAATTGACATATTGGAAGACAACATTGAGGCATTTATTAGAAATGTTGGAGAGAATATGCTAAATTTGAAATAAACGGATGGACTTTTTGACGCGGATGGACTTGAAACGCACTATCAATTCAAATAAAGATTATTATTACTTTTTTTTTGAAAAACTTTCAAAACAAGTTATTTTAAATTTACTTAATTATAACTCACAAAAATTAAGATATGTGTTTGAAAAATATATTTGTACATTACTGAATTATTGTAATTTTTTTATTAATTTTCATCGATTTCGACCCTATCGATTAAACTTAGAAAGATTTAAGTGTCACGAAGGCTGGCTGGGAAGAATTCGTGATTTATTACTTACTTTTCTCAAACCATAAAGTTCCCTTCCACCTAAAAAAAATGATGTCATTGTGAAAAAATAAAAAAGTTTTTTTCTGATATCAAATATTTGGCTAAAATATTTCTTTGGTCATTTACATATGTATATAGCGAAATTATTAATATTTAACTATTCCCCTTCAACGAGATATCCTCTCTGACTCCATCTGTTTTAAGTTTATTATCTCAATTTGTATTACTAATATTGTGTTACTAATAAAAATATGTATATTATATTCGCATGTATGACTTATTTTGAATTATATTAATCGTCTATTTACTTCTTGTGTTTTTTTTTTGTATTTTTTATGTTATCACGTGTCTTTGCAACATGTTTGATTGAACCACGTGATATCCTTTATCCACCACCCATCCCTATATCCCCATTTTGATTCCCGCTTCCTTATTATTTACAGATTCAATCCGGCCTTTAATATGGCTACAATACGACAAGCTTTCTCAGAGGCTGTGGAACGCGGTAAGTCAACAGTTAAACAAAATCATCCATCTTTCATTTACTTTAATTCCGACAGTCTGGCTTAAATCATTGTGTCAATATTGCCTTTATTTTGGATGGGGGTTCGTCAATATATGTTTTCATTTTACCTCCTCAGCATATCTTTTACCCGTGTGTTTTTCATCTTCCACACCAGCTAATTGAGCAATGTAGGCATTAATTAACACTTAAATTGTGGATTTTAAATATACTTTACGTTTTGTACTGCACAGACATGCATACATTAATTACCTCAGATAGACAACCACATTTAGTTTTATTATTCTCTTGATGTACAAAGCGACAAGGTTTGGGACAGATGCAGTCCAAACGTTGAGCAACGACGAACGAACGAAGAATACACGACACAGACAGACAGCGACAAAAAATGGCACATACATAAATCTTAAGAGACAGAAAACACATCCACCCACATTCAAAGACATTTGACGCTGAGCGTTTTTTCAACTGTTATTAAAGCCGACAATTGCCTGGTGCTGTTATTTTTGCCGCTTGCACTTAATATTGACTGGATTAGGTCTTGCAGATTAGATAAGTGCAGGTGGGTATTTCAAATATTTTCTAAAAAAATCCTTACAGGGTTGAGGATGGTCTAGATATAGGCTAGAACGAACAAAGGATAAACTCCATTGCCCTGAGTGCGGTCAGCTAAATAGTACTAATCTTGTGTCAAACTTTATGTAATGACTAAAAAGGTTTAGTATTTGATTGGATTGGTTGCATTGATTCAAGTATTTTTAGGCATTAAATATTGTAATGGGTAGTGAAACAATTTATTTATTTATTATAGCGAAATTGCGTATATTTCACCAGGCGTTTCTGAAACTCTCGATCGCTTTAGATTTAATAGTCAATAACTTAAAAGTTTTGAGGGTTGCTTATCTGCCGATATATAGTATTGACCGAAGGAAAAATATTTCCCTATTCCCTTCTCCATGTACGTAGTGCGGATAAAATTCAATATGATTTAAACAAAGCTATCAAAATTCGATAGGGATAAGGTGGGGACATGAATCTTGATCACTCCTTTGCTAGGAAATTTGGGGACTCTTCATCCAAATAACAACATAGAGATTTGTCTCCTACACTTCGTCAGACACAGCTTTAGGTAGCCTTCTTCGCTGCGATAAAGTCATACTATTTAATTTATGTACTGCGGTTAAAATTCAATATGATTTAAGCACATCACTCTCAAAATCTTTTCTTATATTTGTGATTATCATAACCATTAATGCTGAAATCCCTACAAATTACCAGACTAAGTAACCGCCTAAGCAAGACAACCGGCAGACTGACACAACGGCAAAAAAACCCAATTTGCATAAATTGTTATGGAAGAGTGTATTTGTTGAGGTGGTTTAGTTGTAGTTGTTGCTGCACTACTTTGCCGTCTTTTTCCGTTTTCCTCTTTCATTAATAACGTCTTTATGCCATTTTTTCTGAAAATTATAATTTTTTTCTCATTTTTCTTTTTTTCAGTGAGGATGCCGACACCTACACGTTTAAGAGATCTCATAAGACAGATACGTGCTGCTCGCACAGCTGCAGAGGAACGTGCTGTTGTTAATAAAGAATGTGCCTACATACGCACCACTTTCCGTGAAGAGGATCCAGTATGGAGGTTAGTTGTTTGCCTCTCGTCCAAATGGTCTTAATTTAATAATTAATGCTACGTCCTTTCCCCTCCCTCCTCTTTGATATTTTCATATGTTGTCATTATGTTTCATTTGTTGTTGAGTTCACATATTTAATTGTTTGTTGGATTTCTATTTTTAGATGTCGCAATATTGCAAAATTACTGTACATACACATGTTGGGCTATCCAGCGCATTTTGGCCAATTGGAATGTTTGAAACTTACAGCCAGCTCAAGATTTACCGATAAACGTATTGGTTATTTGGGTGCGATGTTATTGTTGGACGAACGTCAGGATGTTCATTTGCTCATAACAAATTGTTTGAAAAAGTAAGTTGAGTGTTCCACATTTGTTGTTTTCAAAAGTAAGTGGTCATATACGCTGCGCTATAGGTACAGTGGGTTATTGATCAAATAATATTGCTGCACATATGGAAGGCGTACAATTTTTCTATAAAATGCCACACCATACTATTGAATACCTTAAAGATTATTCTGCTTACAGAAGACCTCAGTAAGCTGGAAGAATTAAAAAAAGGACATTCGAAGTACATATTTCTCAAATAGGGCTATTATTTTTAGATAATCTGAACAAATCGGTTTATATGAAATCCTCAAATTGCATTCAATTAAGGACAACCTCAAAAATAAGCTACTCATTTAGAGAAAAACTCACTCCTGTATCTAAAGAAGTATTCACATACATAATAACTTAACATTTCTTGTTTTATTGACTACCTACATATTTGCCAACTATTTACATATATTGCTACAAAAAGATAGTTTCTCCATGACTTCGTTACCGAGCATTTGTAGACGGAGTTGAGGTTGGAGTGTGAGCTCTATTTGTAGATCAACTAAAAAATCTTCCATATACATAAGCCTCATAATCGCATTTTATCTACAAAAAAAATCAAAATGGCCATTCAAAGGTCCCAAAAAGGTATTTAATCAAAATAAGATTTTGAAAGGGTGTTGTATCTATGAATTCTGATCTCAAGGCCGGCTTTGGTAGATGAAACTAAAAGAACTCCATAAAGATGTTATATTTTTGTAGAATCTCAAAAAAATCTTAGATACTCAACACCTCAAAATCGTATTTTATCTACAGAAAATTTGAAACGGTCCTTCTGTCTACAAAGGTCCAAAAAATGTATTTCATCAAAATAAGGCTTTGAGTAAGACTATGAAGAACTTCAATACATAGCCCTCAAAAAAGTCTTTTTTTTATAGAAGGCATTCTATCTATAACGGATTTTAATGATTGATGATTATATTTGTAAACAATATAATCTCAACTGAAAAAGAAAAATGTTTTTGAAACGTTAGAATTGGCAACGAACAAGAATACACGTGTCCCGCTTCAAAGTTTTATTTTATTAAAGTTTTCAATTTAATTGAAAAGAAATTTTCACCGGTGGTGCCTCCTGGTAATTTTTACGCCATTTTTTTATGGCTGTAAGTAATTTTCAGGAATCCAGGATGAAAGAAACAATCATTAGTGACAACGCCCTGTTAGGCGCTTGCAACTCAAGGAAACGGCGTGCTTTTGATGACGAGGAGGTTGATGTGACTTCCTATGACGTTAGCAACCAAAACCGCTTCTCAATTTTGAGTAAAATTAAATTTGTCGATACATCTAGCCAAGGTAATTCTAACAATTTGAGTGAAAGTAAGCCAGCTGCCAACAGCCGTAAGGAACGGCCCGCCAAGAAAAGTCCCAACAACGTGGAACCAAAAAATAAGTTTTGTCCACCCATCTTCATTTATGATCAAGATATAAACTTGTTGGCAAAGCAACTGGAAGAGAGAGTGCCAGCCGGCTCTTTCATAATAAAAAATGTGAACAAACATAAAAGTAAACTGTACTTTAACGACGCTTCGCTGCATAGCGAAATGATGGCGATTCTTAGAGAAAATAAAGTAAAATCATACTCTTTTACCCCTACTGAACTAAAACAAATTTCCTTGGTGCTGCGTGGTTTGCATTGTGGTTCCTCCGTTATTGAGGTTAAGGACATTTTGGATTCTGAGGCGCCGGGCATTGTAGCCCATGTCTCGAAGTTGGTGACAAAACACTCAAAACAAAACAACTATGACACCGGGCTTTTTTTAGTTACGCTACACCCAAGCAAAACCAAAAACGATATTGTTCACATCAATAGAATTTTACATCAAACCGTCTATTGGGAAGTTCCCAAAAACAAGGAAAAGGTCATTCAGTGCAGGCGCTGCCAACACTGGGGGCACATTGCCAAAAATTGTAATTACCCGTTTAAATGCGTTAAGTGCAGCGACAGTCATGAGCCAGGTGCTTGCTCATTAAAAGAAGCCGAATCCAATGTCCCTGTGTGTTCAAACTGCGGTGAAGCCGGTCATCCTGCCAGCTGGAGGGGTTGTTCCTCATATAAAAAATATATGGAAAATAGAAGAAATCTATTGAGAAAATCCAGAGAGCAGAGAGAGGTAGCGGCCCAGCAAGTTAAGAAGTCGATTTCTGCAATGATTGTTCCTGGTAAGTCCTTTTCCGGTTGTTTTTCTTCACCACCAACTTCCCAATCAAATGCATTGATTGACGAGTTTTTAAAATTGTCAAAATATTTTATGGAGCCCGAAGTTCTGACCTTAGAACAAGAAATCGAGAGATTCTTGAACGAATACCGACATATGCCAAAAAGTGAAGCTAAGGCTGAGTTTCTTCGTATTTTAAACAAAGTTAAAAATGGTCTATAAGGCTCTTAATATTATGACTTTTAACGTGCGCTCGCTCGTAGACAAGATGCGGCAAATTGAATTACAAAATATGTTATTTTATAATAAAATTGATGTTTGCCTCCTACAAGAGCTTCATCTGAAAAACAAACGGCGAATTTACATTAAAGGATACAAACTAATCTCTGACGATAGTCCTCTGGGTGTAGCAATTTTAATTAAGGACAACACTTTTTTCAAACGAGTAGCATTGGAAGATGTGCGGTTTCACACGATTTTTCTCGAAATAATTCTTAAACATGGCGGTGCTGCGAAAAGGTATATGATTGGATCTTTATACATCCCTTCAAATTTCCCCAGATTGGACATAATTTCAGGTCTTGATAAAATTTTCAACCTTGCTAATAATTATGATGGTATGATTGTTGGAGGTGATTTAAACTCAAAAAACCCTTATTGGGGAGATCGTATCCAAAACCCGAATGGAGTTTCTCTTTGGAATTGGCTTCAGGACAACGTAAGTGACGTACACAGAATCTGTGATGTGAATCCCTCATTCCCAAATGGGAGCTCATACCTTGATCACTTCCTAATTAGCAGGCATCTTATCTCCTTTAACCCGCCTAATTACGAAATTTCATCTTTAGCTTCGTTTTCAGATCACTACCCACTAAAGTTACAATTGCGATTAGCTGACTTTGAATTCAATGTAATACCATCTAATTCATTCCAATCGTTTAAGAATACCAATTGGTCTCATTTTAAAAGAGATCTTGATGCAGCCTCATCAGACCTTTTGCCACCTATCAACAGAAATCTGAGCAACCCCGAAATTGATAATATCGTGGACAAATTTTCTCAAACCCTAGCAAACATGGCTGATAGACATTCCACCAAAATCGAACTAAAAAATGGCAACTGGCCTCTGCCAGAAAACATTAAACTATTTCTAAGCCAAAAGCATAGGTGGCAGAAACAATTAAAGAGAATTTATCATCGGAATGGCAATCGAACTTCTCCGGAATATAATATTCTGTCAAAGCAGATCTCCTTGCTAAAAATAATTATCAATGACTTAATCAGATTGGAGCAAGCTAAAAGGTTTGGGAAGTTCCTGCAACAAATTACCCCCGGTCCATCGGCTTTTAAGCAGATTAACAGAGTCATCGGTAAGAGACAATCATTACATAGCCACTGTATTACATATAATAACATATCGGCTACAATTGATGAAGATAAATGTACCCTATTTCACAATTATTATGGATCAGTTTTCAGCGAGCAAGCCCCAGATAGCCCTGTGGAAAACATAGATTCCAGGATTGGTCGTTGTTTGGAAAACCTTCCTCGTCAAATTTATACCTTTAATGATGATTTCACATCCCTCGATAATGAAGACCTTTACCACTTCACAAATTCGGAGTCTGTTAAAAGCATAATCGCCGCTTCTAAAAACAAGAAATCCTGCAGCATTGATAACATCTCGAACTACATACTGAAAAAGATCCCTGAGTCGGCCATAAAACTCTTAGTCATTGTCTTCAACAACTGTCTTAATAATGGGCACTTCCCCCCATCGTGGAAGATTTCAAAGATAATTCCCATTAAAAAAAAGAACTCCTCAGAAAATGTGGCTGATTTCAGACCTATTTCACTGCTCTCTAATATCGGAAAACTTTTTGAAGCTGTGTTAAAATCAAAAATCGAAAATGAATTTGTTATAAATCCTCTTTCATACTACCAGTTTGGATTCAGGCCTGGAAATTCGACGCAACATGCACTTCTTAAACTACACTCGGATATTGTCTACAACCTAAGATTGCAGAATTCAACAGTCGCAGTATCATTAGACATTCAGAAAGCCTTCGATTCGACCTGGCATAAAGGTATTATTTACAAGCTAATTGAACTTAATGTTGATCCATTCCTCATTAAGTTGTTACATAACTACTTTCAGGACCGCAAATTTTGTGTCCAAATTCAAAATGCCATTTCGGATTTTGGAGAAGTAAGAAGCGGAGTCCCGCAAGGGAGCGTCCTAGCGCCCCTCTTATTCAATTTATATCTTTATGATTTCCCACACCGCCACTTAAACTCGCAAGCTATCCTGTATGCAGATGATTGTCTTATCTATTCGCACAACCAATTTCCAGACGAAGCTCGTAACGCAGTTGCCACACATCTCAACATCATTAACAACTTTTACAAAAAATGGGGCATTAAAATAAACCCCACAAAATCTGAAGCTATTTGCATTCGCAATGCGAGTGGCAAATGTCATAGACTGGTGGTGCCGCAAAGTAAAAACCTCTCTCTTCCGCTTGATGGTATCCAAATTCCATTCAAAACATCATTAAAGTATCTAGGTGTAACCTTTAGTTACCTATTTCGATTTAATCAGCATGGTCGGCTTATCACCACCAAAGCAAAAAAGGTTGCTGGAATGTATGCTGGTATCCTCAAGAGTAAATATCTGCCATCACAGACAAAACTTCTAATTTATAAGGTAGCGATACGACCTCTGCTCATCTACGCTTTCCCTATTTGGTTCTCCATTTCTCCTGTGGTGGCCAACAACATGGAAATATTCGAGAGAAATGTCTTACGCAAATGTTTGAACAAAAACTTCCAATGCTTCTCGAAACGTTACTCGAACGAATTCATTTACACCAACGCTTCCATCAAACCTCTCTGTCACTATGCGATGCAACAACACCTAAAATTCGCCGAAAGACTGGAGCATCACGAAAATCCATTAATGAACGAAATCTTTGAAGCAAACCACAATACCACATGGACTTCGTCTACATACCTATCGTCAGTAGGAATACTTCACGAAGATCTTAATAATGTCAATCTAACCTCACCTCCTCAATTCTATATCAAGGCTGTGCCTTGTTCGCATCGAGGATAAAATCTTACGTCTCCAGTATTATATGTTTTTAATGTTTTTTGTATATACGCTTATAATACAATTATATGAACGCTATAATTTCGTAATCTCAATTATAAAGATTATTATCTGTTTATACTTGTATATGTACATACTGTAATTGTACTTTCGATTTACATTGTTATAAAAAAAAAAAAAACGATTATTGTTAATTGTTAATTTCATGTTTTTATTGTTACAGGAAATTCATTGTTACCCTGTTTTCTGTTAGGTTGTTTCCCTTAATATTGTTAATATCAGACCAAGCTCTGTACAACACCGTAAATGTCGTGAGCAAACATTGTTTTTTATACTGTCACTATATTACATTAAATGTATTTTATAAGAACTATTAATTCGTATCGAATTGAAGATGTCAACACTGTTAGAGTTTATTAGTTCAATACGTTTACAGAACTAAAATCAACATATGTTATTGTTTGTTACTAAATATAAAATTGTAATATCTGATAAAAAAGAAGTCTCAATAAAGAAAATTGAATTGAATTGAAAAATGTTTTTGAAAAAAATGACTAAACCACTGTGCTACCCGCTGATATAATGACCAATAAAAAGAATGAGTTATTTTTACCTGATATTGCGTGCGTCTTTTTTGGTACCGCCTGTCTGCATGCATCCATGTGTAGTAGTACATTCATTGAATCAATCATATGTGCGGCGTTAGTCTTTGGCCACTGCTCCTGCTCCTGAGACCACCTCAGACAAAACAGCAACAGGCGAAAATTAATTAAGTTCTTTTGTATTTTAATCAATCTGATTTTTCTTGTCGTTGTTTTTTCTCTTCTCTTTTGTGAATTCTCTTCGCCACCTCCAGTGATTTAAACAGTTCAACACAATTTGTTGTGGGTTTGGCTTTATGCACACTCGGTGCCATAGCCTCGCCTGAAATGGCACGTGATTTAGCCAGCGAGGTAGAACGTCTCATGAAATCACCCAATACTTATATACGTAAAAAGGCAATCCTTTGTGCTTTTCGTGTTATTCGACGTGTACCAGAGTTAATGGAAATTTTCCTACCGGCCACACGCTCATTGTTGAGCGAAAAAAATCATGGTAAGTTTTTTTGTTTTTGTTTTTCTGTTATGTTCTTCTTTTTTACCTTTAAAATATTGAGGAATTTTATTGTTTTATATTTGACGATTAGGGCTTTATTATATTAAAATTAAGTTTACACGAATATTGGATTAGTTTGAGACATGCAAGAACGAAGCTTTTGTAAGCTTTCAAGGAAACCAAAGCACTGACATGACATGTTTACCTGTTTCATGGAAAGGGGTTTATGTGAAGTAATACTTAACTTTTATGCGAGTTTCCAATAGATATAATTTCTGAGAACGTAATTAGCGACATGTTTTTATTCAAAAAAAAAATTGTTAACATAAATCAAGTGTCGGTGATGATAATATAAAAAGATACCCAGTTTTATAAAATAGTTTCAATAAAAATGTTGTTATCAAAAATCATTTTATCGACAATATATTCTATAAAACCGTGTTATCAACAATCATGTTATCAACAATATTTTCTATAGGAAATCGTGTTATCGTCAATATTTTCTATAGAAAATCATGCTATCGACAATATTTTCAATAAAAATCATGTAATCGTCAATATTTCCTATAGAAAATCATGTTATCGTCAATATTTTCTATAGAAAATCATGCTATCGACAATATTTTCAATAAAAATCAATTAATCGACAATATTTTCTATAGAAAATCATGTTATCGACAATATTTTCTATAGAAAATCAAGTTATCGACAATATTTTCTATAGGAAATCATGTTATCAACAAAATTTCTATAGAAAATTTTGTTATCCATAATATTTTCCATAGAAAATCTTGTTATTGACACTATTTTCTATAGAATAATGACAACATATCTTTTATTGACAATATTTCCTTTAGAAAATAACGTTATTTATTATATTTTCGTTAGAAAATCTTAATATCGACAATTCTTTCCATAGAAAATCCTGTCACCGACAGTATTTCCATAGAAAATCCTGTTATCGATAATATTTTTTTTAGAAAATCATGTTATTTTCTATAGAAAAATAGACATTTTTCATAGAAAATTTCGAAAATTTTATTTTTAATATTTTTTATTAAAATATATGCTATATAAAGTCTTACTATCGAAATTTGGTATTGACAAAAAAATCAGTTATCGACAGTATTTTGTACAGGACATGTATAGTAAATTTTGCATTTTTCTCATATTTCAGGTATTCTAATAACTGGCGTTACATTAATAACAGAAATGTGTGAAAACAGTGCGGATACATTAATGCATTTCAAGAAGGTATGTATATAAATATTTTCGAAAAAATGTTTACTCTCATAACCAGTGTAACCAGGCACTCAATGTGATTTCTTTGCTTTGAAGCTCAGACAATCTACTGCTACGTATATCATCATCAATGTGATCATGAAAAGAAACGATGCTTCGTTTTCCTATACTTTTGCCTATATTAATATATACCTATACATAAAGTGTACATAAATTCCAATTGAAATAAAGAAAGTTATACTATTCCCATTCAATTGGAATGTGTCTTGATTGTTGTTGTAGTGACATTTTTCTTCTCGCATTTCCTTAATACTATAATACTTCCAATGCATAGCACACATGCTAGCCCACTTGCTGCATATACAGTTGTGAGAAATTCAAATAGCATTCAAGCAATTAATCTCTAAAAATGTTACTCTAACTGGTGCAGTTCTGTGCAATTGGAAGATATTCTAAAAAGTAATGCTGTATTGCTATTCTATTGATCTCAACTGTTTTAATAAATTAATTTATTAAACAAAAACACTAACAAAAACAATAGCATCGTGTTGGCATGTTGAATGTTTAGTGAAGTGAACGAACTAAACTTTAAACTGATGTTGAAACTCAGGCGACATACCACCTACTAACCACATAACCAACAACAAAACCATTAAGATTGGCTGGCGCATTTGTCCCTTTTAAGTTTTCTAATTTTTCGTTTTGTTATTTATTATTCGATTACATTTTCGTTAAAAATAATTATGCTAATTGTTATTATTATTAATGCTAGTTTATTTTAATTTTTCCATTTGCAAACCTTAACAAAAAATAAACTGCTCCCACCAAACAAAATCAAACAAACCAAAATACGTTTACCATTTGTATTGTAATTTGCTTGCCAGGATAGCGGAAACCGAGAGGTATGAACCAAACATACGATGTTATTATGATTTTTTGGTTTATTTTTGTATTTTCATTCGGATTTAAATTTTGAATTATAGTTATTTGAATTATTTTCAGTCTTTTTCCATGTAGTCAATTAGAATTTGGCAATGCTTTTTGTTAACTGTTATTGAGATGTAATTAATCTAAACTTAAGACTGTTAGATGTGCACAAACGTTCAAAGATTATATCATCGTTAATCACAAAAATATATATATACAGGATGAGATAAAAAAACTGCAAAAAGTCAAGCGCCATAATTTTTTTAATTTTATTGAATGAAAGAAAACCGCTTGCTTGAGGTGATCGACACTTTGGTATTTTTTAGTGCCAACCTTGCTTTCCAAAATACTCCAGACACAATAGTTCAACGGATTGTTATCCTGAAATTTTGGTGGCCATTGTGCGCTGAAAATGAAGCGAGGAACCTCATTTTGTAACCATTCTTGGGTGGCTCGTGCTGAGTGCGATGGTGCTGAGTCATGTTGGAATGTCCAAGGTCTGCGGCCAAAATGTTTGCGTACCCAAGGCGTTAATACACCCTCCAGAATATTTTTGCTATAATATTCGGTATTAATTCTAATGCCAAGGCAGATTAATACGAGTGGAGAGCGACCATCGGCTGTTGTGGCGGCCCACACCATCACCATAGCCGGCGCTTGAGTTCTGGTGGCTAACCGAAGGTGCACATTTTCAGCTGACCTCTTTGGCAAGTAAACATGACCATTTTGTTTGTTTACAAACTGCCGGACAACGAATGTTTTCTTATCGGAGAAAACCAAATTCAGCAATTCAACACTTTCGGCCAAGCGAAGCAACTCTTTTGCTCTATTGAGTCTATATTATTTCTGTTGCGGTGTAAGTTTTTGCACTTTTTAGGACTTCAATGGCTTTACCGCCAGCTCATTTTTCAATATTTACCGAATGGACGACGCGGGTTTCGATCATGTCTTTTCGAACCATTTCTGCTGATGTTGCTGTTTTTTTAGTATTTACCACTAGAATTCTAGATCTCAACACACATATACATTTTCTATTTCTATGGGAAATCTTGTTATCGACAATAATTTCGGCAAATAATCTTATTATCGATAATATTTTCGACAATCTTTTCTATAGAATAACTTGTTTTCGACAATATTTTCTGTTTGATAAACCCATGGTACAATGATATCATCCATATGATTTTAATTTTTTTATTTTCTTGGCTTAATATGTCATCTTTATTTGTTTATGTATGTGTTTTCTTTTCAATAACAAAAAAATTGTTCAGAAAACATTCAAATTCGGGTGTTTTCAAAATGTTTATTTCAACGTATGCATCGACAAAATCTAGAGTTTTTGTAGCGAAATAATCCTTTAGAGATATATAGTACATGATTTTGAAAAGAAGTGTTGACCTTTCATTCAATTATCGCGGTTTTCAATTATTTATTCAAAATAAATGCAACAAGTTGTTTGATTTTTTATTGTTTTGATACTAATTCTGACATTACAAGCCAAACAGGTAGACCTCTATACTTGCAATTTTTTCAAAGTTGACCTACCTTCTCTTCATTGTACCATGGATAAACCCATCTTTGAGATTGAAAGAAAATATTCTTATTCTTATCCATAATATTTTCTATGAATTGTTTTGGGGAATATTTTCAGAAAATCTTTATGCAGAGAATATACTTCTAAATTAAAAGGTCTTATTATATTCTTTAGTAGGACTGTTAATTGATTTTTTAATAGTATAGATTCCTTTAAAATTAAATTAAATTATTATTTTTTATTAAAGTTTAGAGCATTTAGCGTGTTTTGATGTTTCCAAAATAGTAATTTGAATTACAATGTTTATTTTTTGTTTTAATTAGTACGCAATATCACAAATGAAACTAATATTTACTGTTTCTTGAGCGTTAAACTGCACAATTCTGCTTTATACTCTTACTTCAATTTCACAATTCTTCAACTATATACCTTCACACTGTCTCAATTTTGCAATGTTACATCAATAATAACAATTTGTTATTTCATATAGATTTAATAAACATTTCTTTATCATAACTGAACAATTTTTAATAACATACTCTTTTCTTTTACAATTAGATTGTGCCGAATTTGGTGCGTATCTTAAAAAATCTTATACTAGGTGGTTATTCACCTGAACACGATGTGAGCGGTGTCAGCGATCCATTTTTGCAAGTGAAAATCTTACGGCTGTTACGTATACTGGGTCACAATGATACAGATGCATCGGAGGCCATGAATGATATACTGGCGCAGGTGGCCACAAATACTGAGACAAGTAAAAATGTTGGCAATACAATTTTGTACGAGACGGTGTTGTCTATAATGGATATAAGGTTAGTGTGATATTGATGACTATATATATTTTTAATACTTAATAATTATTTGTCATTTTAGATCTGAAGGTGGCTTACGAGTTTTGGCTGTAAATATTTTGGGTCGTTTCCTGTTGAATTCAGATAAAAATATACGTTATGTTGCATTGAATACATTGTTGCGTACGGTGCATGCAGACACCTCTGCTGTACAGAGACACCGTACTACTATTTTGGAGTGCCTCAAAGATCCCGATGTTTCGATACGAAAACGTGCTATGGAATTGTCATTTGCTTTGATAAATGCCCAAAATATCCGTACGATGACAAAAGAACTATTGTTGTTTTTGGAAAAAGCCGATCCTGAATTTAAGGCTCAGTGCAGTTCAGGTATGATTCTAGCTGCTGAACGGTATTCACCCAATACAAGATGGCATTTGGATACCCAGTTGAGTGTTTTAATTGCGGTAAGAAGGCACTTTCGAAATACTTCTCGATAAGAAAATAGTTGTACGTATGTATTTTTTCTTACTGGATAAATTAGGCCGGAAATTATGTACGTGATGATGTTGTGTCCTCCACCATACAACTTGTTTCTAGCAGTCCAGCAGTTGAGCAAACCTATATAACAAATCGTTTTTGGGAGTCCTTACAAGTATCCAATCATTGTGAGGACAAACAGCCATTATTGCAAGTGGCCGTGTGGGCTATTGGAGAATATGGTGACATGTTTATGTATGGTCCCAATGATGAAGGTAGGTTATTCCATATGATCCAAGTACATAGTAAAATTTTATGAATTACCACTGGTTTTATTTTCTTTCCAGAATTTGAACGTCCATCTGAAAGTGAACTAATCGCTATGTATCATAAATTTTTAACGTCTGCTCAAGTATCAACAACTAGCAAGCAATATGCTTTAGTGTCATTAGCAAAGCTAAGCACCCGACTCCAGAGTTGTGTAGAGTAAGCTCAATTTTATAAACATATGCCATATTTTCAATTATTAATTGAATCAATATAAAAAATTGGACCATTTTTAACATGATGTCCTACTTTATAATCTTTAGGAAATATGAATTTTCGTATTAAAGTTTAATAATTTTTTCTCCTCTTTTTCACAGAGAAATTCAAGCATTAATTACCTCATTTGGCAGCCATTTAAATGTAGATTTACAGCAAAGAGGAGTGGAATTTTCACAACTGTTCGGTACATATAAACATTTGCGCCCGCCTTTGTTGGAAAAAATGCCAGCAATGCAAGTTAGTCGTATGTCATCACAGAATGGTGAAAGCAGTGGTTCATATGAAGACCATAGTCCTGATTTAATAGAAAATGGTTTGGGTGATGAACAAATAGGCACCGAAAGCAATATGAATACCATGAGTGATAATACGGTAAGTATATTGTGTACATATGAGTATTTGAAAGATTTTCACAAATGACTACTTGTTATCTATTGTTCTCTTGCCCAATTAGAATATTCTTTTAGATCTTTTGGGTGGCTCTGACTTATCGGCACCAAACACAATTACAAGCCAAGATCTTTCTGTACAAAAGAAAAATACGCTCAATGCTAACAATGATAATACAAGCACTTCGAATAATCAAGATTTCCTTGATTTACTTGGCTTGGATATGTCTGCGACACAGTCGTCTACAACAACAACAAATCTTACCTCCAATGTTGTCAACAGCACCAACACAAACATGAACAATGTGTTAATGGGTGTTGGAACCGGAGGAGGCGGTGGTGGTCTTTTAGACATTATATCAACTGCCAGCACTGCACCCACAAATGGCAATGATTTATCATCGATTATGGCTGCCGCTAGTATAAACATGCCTTCAATGGACATAACCGCAGCTAATTCTCTAATAAATGATCCTTTAGTTACGACAGCGGCTTTAAATAATGTTAGTGTGGTTAGTATATGCCAATATAAAAAATTAGTTTACAACAGAAAATAGTAATGTTGGGTGTTTTTCTTTCTTTACTTTATAGCCTCAAGATCCGAAATTGACAGCTTTGAATAAGAATGGCGTTTTAGTTCAGTTAGTTCCCGTTAAAACAAACGATTCCATGCAAATCTATATGACAACAACTAATAGTTCTAATACCACATTAGAGCAATATCTATTTCAGGTAAGTGGATTGTGTGGCATTTGAATTTGAATTCTTCTATACACTTACATTTTTGCAGGCGGCAGTTCCTAAGAGTTTTACACTACAAATGCTATCGCCTTCAGGCTCAGTACTACCACCTGGTGGTGCCATAACGCAAGAAATGCGCGTTGTTAGTACGTCGAATGTAAGCTACATCGCAATTTTATTCAATTGTTGCAATTAAATATTTATAAATATTTGTTTCTTTCTCAGGCTACATTACGCATGCGCATACGCATATCATATGTCGCCGATGGAGCAAATGTCTTAGAACAAACAGAAGTAAGTGGTTTCCCAGATACAACACCGGAATAAAACTAAACATAAAGAGAGATAATTGGTTAGGAAAGAAGGCAAAAATGATAAAATCTAAAAATTAAAAACCCGAAACGCGATTGCAGTATATAATAAATTTAACATTAACATAAATACATAATGATAATAATTTAAAACATAATAATATATATAGTGATGAAGATAAACAAGATATGGAACGTTAACGTGAAAATAAAAAATAGCAACAAAATCAAATCATTCAAAAAGCCAACAACTAAAGGACAATTTATGGTAAATAATGATGATGATGAAAAACTCCCTCCCCATTTGCGAAATGCTAAAAGAAACAACACAACAAATGTAAAACAAGCAAACAAACATATATATTTTTTTGTAATATACAAAACAAGTATAATAATAACAACAACAAACAAACACTGTGTTATTATTAACAAACAAAATAACAGACTTGTTTTTTACACATGAAACTGTCCAAAACAAAACTCCCTTTTTAAGACACAATTTTCTGCAAAACTAACAATCTAAAGAAAAATTATACATACTTCTTTTTTAATTCAACTTTTACTCGTACTCCTTCTCTTGAAATAATTTTGCATATACATACATACTCACCAACATCATATAAACATACCTAAAGAAAATATAAAAGTTTTTTAAATTAGGTCATATTTATGACAAGTGAATTCATCACTCCGTCACCACACACACCCAAATAATTTTTTTCCAAATCAGACTAAATATATACATGAAAAACCAGACAAAAAATAAAAACAAACAAAATCTTTATACTAAGGCATATGTTAAAGTTGTAATTTGTAATATACTAAAAGGATAAATAAACAACAAAAGCAAAAAAATAACAATACTTGAAAAGGGATAGTAAACCAATAACTCTAAAGAGAACTATTTTAAACATTTAGGCTTCTTTGAGTTGAGTATTTGTTTGTAATTGTTTTGTTCTTTTGGGTTTTACAAACACAAAGAGTTGCATAAAAATTGAGATTTTTTGTGAAACTTGGGTTATTTATGGAATTTTATGCATTTGACTCCAGGACTTCAACACATACCACATTTTTTTTACCAAATTGTTGCCCATTTCTTATTTCTCTTAAATCTATACATAGGTTACTAATCAATTATTGTCCGTGGCAAAGCCTATACATTACAAATTTTGATAATAGGATTTTTAATAGGTAATATTGTCAATAAAAAGACTTAGAAAATATGTTCAGTAATAAGACTTTCTGTTAAAACGTATGGTTCCGTTCCTCTTTGGCGATACGCAAGTTAATGCAAACAAGAATGACATTCCAAATATGATTTTAAAATTATAGATTTAATTAAAAAATCAATTGAAAACTCATTTGAAATGGTGTATTTCTATTGCACTTACATTCGGATCGTCATAGAGAAACATACCTTAAGAGTTATTAGAATTGAACAAGGTTTTCTAAGAAATATTATTGGCGATAAAAAAATAAAAAAAATATATATTGGCAATGACAAAATTATTTATAATATTAACAAGTATTGCCTATTTTACAATATGTTGCAAAACTCAATAGAAAACATACAAATATTGGTTTGAATACTTTAATTAGATAGACTATTAATTGAAATATTTTATTTTTTTTCCTCCACGTTAAGATTAATTAAATATTTCAAATCCCATAACATTATTTAGATATTTGAATTTATTGAAAACTTGTGTTGATTTTAAAAACTCCCTATAATTCCATTCCCATTTCCAATCGTTCCATACATATTTTTAAAAATTTGTCTTACGCATGGCGTGTTTTATATATATTTTAATTTATTAGTATAAAAAGACACTGTGTTTGTTATTAACTTTAATAATTTTGTTTTTATTTTTCTTTATCAAATAAAATGATTATAAAAATCCAAGATTTATAAAGCTCTTCTTTAAGTCATTGCTACATATGCGTGTACTTATTACATATATTTTATTTAATAAAACAATTAATCCACAAAATAAATATACTAATTTACAATTTGTTTTCTGTTCCATTTTTTTGAAAAAAAAACTAATATTTTTTGTGGTATAAATATTTTAGATAAAATAAGTTATAAACAAATAAATAAGGAAAAACTATATATACGAAAGAAAACAAGTGAATTGTAGTTATATAAAGAGAAACAAATAACAGAAAATATATATACACATATATATATAAAGAAATAATTATATATATTAAATATCGTATTATACATCAGGCAAAAATAAAAATGAACATAACTCGTATTTGTTTTAATTGGGACCCTAGAAATTGTTGTATGGTGTAAGGCAAAAAAAAAAAAGTAATAAAACGTATCAAATATCTCCTCCCGCCGATGGGTAACGCCTCAGATTATTTTGGGTAATGACAATGTGAAAACAACTAGATGAGTCGAGAGGTGAATACTTGCATTGTTTGGTCATGGCGTTGGGTCCTTTAGTTTGGGACACATGGTGCATTAGAACCATAGGATTTGAAACCTTATCGGCCTACAGCCATTTAGAAATTACACTCTTTTGATGTCAACCATCTTTGTTCCAGGTTGTAGTTAGTTTTTTTTTTTTTTTGTATGTACATATTCTTTGAATAACTTTAAGAAATTTCAAATTCTGTCTACATATTTATATATGGGGAGAATAAATGGTAAAATCCTACTAGAGAAATGTGTTATTTTTATACCCTCCACTATAGTGTGGAGGGCATATAAAATGCTCGAAATATACATTTTAGACACCACACAATATATACATTCTTGATCATCATAAAATTCTATGTCGATTTAGGGATGTCTGCCCATCTGTCTGTCATTCTGTGGAAATCATTTTAGCGGAATGAAGTAGGTTGATAAAATTTTACTCAGATGTGTTTTAGGCCTGCAGGACTTTTGGTATTGGCTATATAGGTCCACAACTTAGTATAGTCTCCATATAAAGGGTTTTTTGCGTGTTTTAGTCAAAATTGCAAACCGAATTTTATGTAAATTGGGAATATGTGTTCCCAATATGTGGGAAACATCCTTGCAGATAACTGTGCATATAGTTTTGGTACAGAGCCCATATAATTGTACCTCCAGATTTTCGGTATTTTGATGATTCGTGTCACAGTCTTCACCGGTTTTTTTAATTTGAAATTCGTAATGGGTATTACCTCCTATTACTGAAAATTTCCTGAAAAAAGTGTCCTCGCTTTCCTATAGCCCGCACATAAAGGTTCCTCCCAATATTTGGTATTTCGATGGTTTCAGCTACATTTTTTAACAGAATTATCTCAATGTTGATGTTTGGAGTTCGTAATAGACTCAACTTTCCCTGGTAAATAATTTTTTGAAGAGTCCACTGTTTCGTCCTCCAGATATTCGGAATTTTGCTTATTTGTATCACGCTTTTCACGGGAATTGTTTCAAATTTGTGGAACAACTCTACTTTAGTAAAAACTCTTCAATTTTTTCGAATTTTTTTTCCAGAGTTATGTATTTATTATCCTGATTCCGAGAAACTTTTTTTTTAGGGCGCTGACCCGGGACCCCAGATTTTTGACCCGAAAGTCCGGGTTCAAGACCCGGGTATCAGAAAAGGTAAAAGCACAATTTTTGATTTGGCATCAGTTTGGTTGACCCCCATAATGAGCCGTTTTTCGACATTTTGTGTATTTTATAAAATATCCGAGTCCAAAATATCGATAATCGACTGTAGCTTCCAAACCCTATCATGTGACCACTTATTGGATAGGTATGTTCATAAGTTTTCCAACAACAACAACATTTTTTTCATCTTTCCCTTTTTTGTCTAACAATCTGGCAACATGAAATTGCCAAGGGTGAAATTTAATTTTTAACTAGTTCCGCGCTCTTTTAGTGAATGTACTCAGTTTTCCCTATGTCTCATTCGTAAACAACAGAGATCCCTCGGAGATTTTGATTTCTGTTTATTTTTAATCAAGTATTCCTTTTTGGTATTTATATTCGTTTCGTTGGGGACGACTTTCATTTTTGTTTCCCACGCTCGCAACTAACAACTGCAACTGCAGATAAAAATATTGGGTTGTGCAAAAACTTACTTATTTCAAATTTTTTGTGTTAATCAAAATATTGGGGAGGTACCAGAAGGAATAGACCAACATATCCAATATTTACATTAGATCTATGGTTCATAGAAAAATGTATATACATGAAGTTTGAACAAAATCTATAACTTGTTTGGCATGTTATGAGAGTTATAATTATTCATTATGTTGTTCATTTTCGCGCCTGAACAAGCATTGGTACATATATTAGAACTTGTCAAGCTTGGTCAAAATCGGATGAGTTATTCTCTATGAACACTCCGACCTTTTGTGGGGGAGTTACCACAAAGAGTGGATAGATATTGCTCATCTCCGAACTCGATTTATATTTGATAATAATCATGGTAGAAATATTTTTCTACCATGATAATTATATTTGTGTACCAAGTTTGGAAGGAATCCCATACCCCTTTTGAAAGTATCGTAGGCACCAGCCAGATACTCCCTTCGAGGGTTATCGTGGCTACCAGCCAGACAGACGGATGAACAGACAACGCTAGTTTGGCTCCAAATTCCCTGCAACGGATTTCGTCCTATTCTAAAGCCGATATTTCGATGCGGCACATTTTGCTCGTATCAAATGATATGTAACCTCTGTAGTCAATTGACTGAGGGTATAATTAAATGTAATAAACTAAGTATGTATTTAAACAGAAATATACCAAAAATTAAAAAATATATATTTGGTGTTATTTTCAAAAGTACTAATTTATTTCGCAGTTTCTTGTTCATGCTTTTTCAAAGTGTATACTACCAAATTATGTATCCCTGTTATAGATAAGAACATTTGCTATGGTTGGCAACACTAATTAACAAAAAAACTGACATTACTAAGAAGTTTTTTTTCCATTGGAGCAAATATTACCAAAAAGAGAATATTAGTTAAATACTTTTTATCTGAATCTGCAACAGATTCAAAAAGATTATGTTTTAGTACTACTACGTAGGATAGCAAGACATACCCAAACAGCAGCCAATCCAGAAAATATAGACAGATATCTTGTGAGCAGAAAAAAGGGGAAAAGTGTGTGACACAAGAATGTGAAAACGACCAATAGAGATAAGGAAAATAATAATGGCCACATAAATAACATTATAAGTGGTTGGTTAGTGGATAGATTCCAAACGAGGAGGACGGTTTTTTTTTACTTTCAATAAGAACTGAAGCGACTTTGAAACGAGAAACATCTGATCGATAAAAGTAAGTTTCATCACTGGTGCAATCATGTCTTCGGCCGTGGACATACAAATAGTTTCGGCTCCGAATTTAGCTAAGATAGAGAGTTATCTTAAAGATGCCTCCTATCGAGAAACCATCGAATATAGTGCAAATTTCAACACACGTTTATGTATTGAACGACGACTGCGTTTGCCGTTTCTGGACCCCCAGACTGGAGTGGCACAAAATCATTCACATTTGTTTGTGGACAAAAGGCAACGCATGCCGGGATTTAGAGAGGGTCAGCTCTATACGTATCCAGCGGCTAGATGGCGTAAAAGTCGTAGACAATATTTGAACAAAATGTACAAGTGAGCGAGCTGGTTTTGATGTTCTCTCATATAATATGAGTTCCAATTGTGGATAAACCATTCTCTTTTCAGATTTCCAGACCGCCCTTTTCAGGCACTGCGTAAAGATCATGAAGCTTTGGTGGCCAGCACAGCAACATCGGGTAGTGGGGGTACAGCATCGCCCACAGTTACCTCGGTTGTCACAAATGATCCCGAATTTAATAGCTCTTTATTGGAGGAATCATCATCCCTAGGTGCTGCTGGTGGGGATACATCGGACAGTAAGGATAGTCAACAGCAAGTGGCACAGCAACTCAAGGAGGACCTGCCTAAAGAGTGGTTTTATGATGAGATGGATATGCATGATAATGACTCGTTAGAGGAGCCTAAATCACCTGCCGATGATGAATACGATTATGATCCTCGTTACGGGACAAAGAAGCGAAGAAAGCGTAAGCCGGGTAAAAAACCTTCCCTTACACCGGGTGAAAGTCCTGGTCCTGGTCGACGACGAGGCGGTGCCGGTCGTGGACGGTCTGTGGCAGCCGCAGCAGCTGCTGCAGCATCCCTTGGTGATAGCTCAATGTCAGGTTTAGACTCGGTCGACGGCATGAGTGCCACTGACACAGCGACGACAGCAGCCAGTCCTGCAACTCCGGCGCCCGGAAGACGTCCCCGCGGTACCGGTACTCGTGGTAGGCGTCGTACTAAAAACCAAAATGCAAATAACGGTTTACTTAGTTCGGGACATAATGCTGAACCTCCGTCTTTTGAGTCTGTGGCTGCAGCTGTGGGCGTTTTAGGTGATTTGCCAGCCGTTGTGGATGAGCACAATGCAGATTTACGCAATTATCGGAAATATTTGTAAGTGTTTTCATCCGACCTCTTTCGCGATTTCTTTTTTTTTTAATAAATATATGTTTTTGTTAGAAATAAAACAATGATAGTTACATAGTATGTAACATTTTAAGTCTCTCTCCCTAAATGGAAATTATTTATATTTTCCTGCATACATTACGAACGTTCGTACACATTCAAATAAATAAACAAATTTTCCTATGAAAAAATACCAAACCTAACCAAAACCAAACCAAAATGACCACCATTCTAAAAGAAGAATAAACCTACATGATCAAATCCTATTGTATCGTTGTAAAATGTTGATTAGATTCAATAATTTGTTTCGTTTTTATTCCACTATACCTACTGTATTCCCGCCAATACATTGTACACTATTCTGCACTCCATAGTTGAATTTTGTTTAAATTTCAAATCATGTTTTTTTATTTTTTGCTAGATATTTTAACACATATATGAATATATTCAAGGAACGAAAAGGTTTCATTCGAAATATGTTATTGTTCGTTTTTTACTTTTTTTTAATTTTATTATTATTATTATTGTTTTTACTGGGTTTTGCAAATACATATGTTATGGAATATACAAATATTTTTCTTTAATTTATATACAAACGTATATCACTAATAGTATGGATAAGTATACATTTTTAAAGTCTCAAAATGAAACATTATATACGTTACTTAAATTTAACTAATATTGAAAAAATATTAGGTGAACACGAAATTAAGAAATTTTTAAAATAAATCATATCTATGTATATTTTAATCAAAAAGTTTTTATTTCTATTGGTGTTGGTCGTTCTGGCCGCGGGTAGTAAAATTAACACGCATGGAACTATTCTTTTTGATTATTTTGTGTTTATCTATATAAAAACGAGAAGATTTAGGGTCGCATGCATGGTCTGAACAGGGACTATTTGTGCTGATAAAAAGATCTGCCGTTTGTGCCGTCTATTTGACGACATGTACACAAATGTTGACGGATTTTGTTACGAATCGGTATTCTAAGAGTGCACATTTCATCTTAATCAAAATATTGGGGAGGTACCAGAAGGAATAGACCAACATATCCAATATTTACATTAGATCTATGGTTCATAGAATAATGTATATACATGAAGTTTGAACAAAATCTATAACTTGTTTGGCATGTTATGAGAGTTATAATTATTCATTATGTTGTTCATTTGTCAAGCTTGGGCAAAATCGGATGAGTTATTCTCTATGAACACTCCGACCTTTTGTGGGGGACTTACCACAAAGAGTGGATAGATATTGCTCATCTCCGAACTCGATTTATATTTGATAATAATCATCGTATAAATATTTTTCTACCATGATAATTATATTTGTGTACCAAGTTTGGAAGGAATCGCATACCCCTTTTGAAAGTATCGTAGGCACCAGCCAGATACTCCCTTCGAGGGTTATCGTGGCTACCAGCCAGACAGACGGATGAACGGACAACGCTAGATTGGGTCCAAATGCCCTGCAACGGATTTCGTCCTATTCTAAAGCCGTTATTTCGATGCGGCACATTTTGCTCGTATCATATGATATGTATCCTCTGTAGTCAATTGACTGAGGGTATAATTAAATGTAATTAACTAAGTATGTATTTAAACAGAAATATACCAAAAATTAAAAAATATATATATTTGGTGTTATTTTAAAAAGTACTAATTTATTTCGCAGTTTCTTGTTCATGCTTTTTCAAAGTGTATACTACCAAATTATGTATCCCTGCTATAGATAAGAATATTTCCTATGGTTGGCAACACTAATTAACAAAAAAACTGACATTACTAAGAAGTTTTTTTTTCCATTGGAGCAATGCGTGTCAATCCAGATAATATAGAAATTCTGGTTGTAACATGTTTGGGAATAGCATTACGTGGAATCACATCACTAGGATCCTATTCTGGTGCATCCACCCCACCCATGTTTGGAGATTATGAGGCCCAAAGACACTGGCAAGAAATAACGCTAAATCTACCGGCAAAAGAATGGTACACAAATACATCGGATAATGATCTACTATATTGGGGTTTGGATTATCCTCCTTTGACGGCCTATCACAGCCTCATATTGGGAAAGGTGGCATCGAAATATTTGAATAGCAGCTATGTGGAGTTGTACAAGTCACGTGGATATGAATCGGAAGGGCATAAGACGTTTATGCGTCACACTGTGCTGTGGGCCGATATATTTCTTTACATTCCAGCATGTATAATTTTGGTCAAAGCAATGGATACATTTCTTGCTAATAAGAAGCAACGATTGTGTCTTTTGGCAGTGCTGATTTCTTATCCCGGCTTGATACTTATCGACAATGGCCATTTCCAGTACAATAACATTTCATTGGGTTTGATGTTGGTGGCTATTGCAGCAGTGCTACAAGATGCATATGTCTGGGCAGCATTCTTTTTTTCCTTGGCCTTGAACTACAAACAAATGGAGCTCTATCACGCTTTGCCATTCTTCGTTATGCTGTTACGAGTATCCTTGAATGGAAACACATTTGCACATAAAATGGTTACTCTATTTAAGATTGCTACGATGACATTGGCCACGTTTGCCATGTTATGGTTACCTTGGTTGAAATCTAAAGATTTAGTTATGACTGTAATACATCGACTATTTCCATTCAATAGAGGAGTATTTGAAGACAAAGTAGCAAACATATGGTGTTCCCTTAATGTTGTTTACAAATTTAAGGAAAACGTTACCAACCCAGAAATGGCCTTAATATGCCTGACAACCACTTTACTGGCCATACTACCATTAAATGCACATGTCTTTTATAAGGGACAGAAAAATACATTCGTCTTTAGTCTTTTCAATACAGCCATCGGATTTTTTTTATTCTCATTTCAAGTTCATGAAAAGTCCATTCTTTTGGCTGCACTGCCTGCAATATGCCTATTGCCGCATATGCCATTTTGTGCTGTAAGTTTTTTGAAGATTTCCGTACTAAGTATGCTGCCATTATTCATTAAGGATAAACTGTGTGTAGCATATTTTGCAATGATCATTGGTTTTACAGTTGGCCTAAGAAATTTGCTGAAAATTGATTATAGCAAAAATGTTAAAATTCAAAAAATATTAGATGTGTTAATGGTCGTTTTGGACATATTTATAATTATAATATCATTGACCGCAATATTTGTGCCCAGCCCAGCTAGTCTACCACACATCTGGCCTCTTTTCATTTCCGTGTTATGTTGTGGCGGCTTTTTATTGTTACTGCTAGTATCTGTTATTTATCAATTTGGCTATGAAAAATCATTATATAAAATATTTTATAAAATTATACCAAACATAAGTTAATGGAGCCTGTGTAAAATATTAGAAAAATAAATGATAACAGAATAATTGAAAAAAAGATTATTGATTATAATTAGTAAAATACTCTAACATTGAAAATCTATCTTTTGGGGACATTTTGCAGAAAATTGATCAGACTCAAAGTTGTTCGAAGACAACTTTTTCTATATAAAAGTTATTCTACGTCAACTTTTTCTATAAAAAAAGTTGTTCTATGTCAATTTTTTTTTTATAAAAAAAAGTTGTTTTAAGTCAACTTTTTCTATAAAAAAGTTCGATGTCAATTTTTTTCATAAAAAGATCGATGACAACTTTTTTTTTGTAGGAAAGTTGTTTGATGGGAGCTTTTTATATAAAAAGGTTGTTCTTTCTATAGAAAAGTTGATCGAGGACAACTTTTTTATAGAAAAGCTGTTCGATGATAACCTATAGAAAAGCTTTTGAAAAAACGTTCCCCATTCACAAACGCCTTTTTCTTTGAAAAATTAACATACATTTTTCCAAAAAATTCTGCAATAAAGAAATGGTCAGCACTCTCCCGCCCTCCAAAACCAATTCGAGTTTTATTATATTTATACGTTTATTTAAACAACGCTTTCTCTTTATTAAGTTAATATAATTTTTATATTATTTATAATAGATATAATTATAATAGCTGTTTTTTAGACAAAAATAAACAAAATTTAGAAGAAATCAAAACATTCCATTTTTTATAATTATACACATATACACAATTTATTTAATTCTTATTTTTGTTATTTTTTTTTTATTTTTATATAAATATATAGATTTGCTCCCAAAATGTTTTGAATTTTTTCCATAATTTTATTGTGTATTTTGTCTTTTTTTCTATAATAATTTAGAAATTTGTTACAGTTTCTTGAAGAATTTTGTTTTAATATCTCAAAAATATATATAAAGATCTATAATTAATTTGTTTTTAAATCCGACATTAATGAAGATCAATGCTAATGCTTTTTGTTGTGGTTGTTACTTTATATTACTTAATTGATTATTTGATTTTTTATATAACTTAAGTGCGTAAAAAGAAAGGAAATATATTATATTAGCTTTTAATAGTAATTATTATTAATAATTTATTAAGAAAAAAAGATTGCATAGCAAACCCAAAGTAGTTATATATATTTTTTTTTTTTTTTGCTTTTTTAATTTTGGTTTTGTAATGAAAAATTATATTTATATGGATGGATGTGTTGCTGAATAATAATCAAAACAAATAGTAGTTGTTCAAAATAAGAAAATAAATGAAGTGAGATGGGGAGTTTTTGTTTACGTAAAAACTATGTTTTTTCTTTTGGTTTTTTATTAACTACTCATTTCATACAAATATGTATAGCATTGTTTTTATATATAAAATATATTTACAAAGTTTTGACATACTCACTAATCTATGATAAATATGAGAAAAAAATACGAACGAACAAATATGTATTTTACTACTATTTCTATTTTATATAAATTTGTGCTTATTAAACAATGTATTTGGAAAACAAAACATAACACACACACAAACAAAGAATAGTAAGTGAATGAAAGATAATACAGTTGATGGGAATATGCCAATAAAATAAGTATTACTTATATTCCTGCTCGTTTAAAAAGTAAAACAATTAAATGTACTTAGTTTTTGTATAATTTATACAAGTGATGTGTGATTTTGTAAAAGAGTGAAAGGTGGTATAATCTTATTTTAAATCTAATAAAAGCAGTTAGAATCAAGTTTCACGTTATGTTTTGCAGCTTTTGCATGTTGCATTGTGTGTGTGTTGGTGTGAGAGCGGGTATCTTAAACCGATTTTAAACAAAGAAAATTAAAAATATATAAATTTATAAAAAACATAATTGTTACAAACAAAAGAATGTTTAATTTAATTATGTTTCTGGTGAAGATGTTTTTCCTAAGTTTTGTAATGGTTATTCTTATCTCTGACTATACGTCTTATAAACACGTTGTGTTGACGTTGTAGTCGCTGATGAACAATTCGCCGATGTATTTGCGTGTTCATAGTCCTGATCATGATGATGGTGGTGCGTTTCCAAATTTAGCGGCACCCCATCCTCCTGATTCATTTCTTGCATAATATAATCTCGTTTTTTAAAGTATTCCAATAGTTTGTGGGTAGATTTTATGTGGGCAACAATCGATGCTTCGGCCTGAAATAAAAAGAAAAGGATTTTATTACATGAATATGAAAATCAAGAGGATTGTTAAAGTTGTATTATTTTAAATGGGTGCTGTGTATAGAAGAAGGACCAATGAAAGTTTTTATGTTGACTGCAAGATTACTATTACATCGTCTATTTGAAAAGTGTTTTTAGAGAACTCGGTCTATAAACGACCATTTTAAACACGTTCGGTATCTGAAGTTATTTTTGCAATCCTCTACTGTAGAGCAATGGTTGTTTTCTGTACAGAAGAGTTTTAGAAAACATTTTTTTTGGTTATTTTGATATGTGTTCTGTGTATAGAATTGAGTTTAATAATTCATCTATTGTGCCGACAGTTAGGAATTAAGAAAAAATAAAAGTTCTCTATAATAAGAAGGTTGTATTTAAATATAAACATTGTTTACTTACACTGGCTGTTAGATTCATGAAATTGTAATATTTCTCCAATACACCGATGATCTCTTTGAAACCATTACCATGAACATGTGAACGTACAATAGCCTCATATTCTTCATTATCGGTAATGAGATGGCCAATCAATATTGCTGTATAGGTACCTTTGAGGGAATGTTCCATATGGTGGCCGGCTTTTTGCAGTACTAAAAATAAATATATACATCAGCATTAAAATGGAGCCATGTGCACAATTCAAATTAGGTTATGACTTACAATTATTTACAGTCTCATCAACTTCCTCCTGTTTCTTTTTATTCTTATCCTGTTTATCCAGGAAGGCATCTGTATTCTTTTCAACCAATCTAAAAAGAGAAAGCAACATGTGTATTTCATCCAAACTTTGATTAACAAACTAAAAGTCTTACCTTGCCAGTTCTTCACATTTATAGAAATAAGCCATTACCGCCGATATTGCCGATTCCCTATGTTGCATTAGATCATGATGTCCCAGACCAAAGTCAGATGGCGCATAAGCTTTCATGACACGATCCCGATTCTCCTGGGTATGCATTGTTAGATTGTTGAGCAATGAAAGAGACTACAAAAATCAATAGTAAATTACTTAAATCTCAATAACACAGAAAAATCCATCCTTACCAATATGCTCAGTTCAAAGACACAACGTTCAGGAATGTAGTTTGGTGCTTTTAACAGTAGATGGAAACTTGTATCGATTACATCGGGTTTTCGTCCCACCAATTCAGCTCCCATTGTGCTTGTCGGACTAAATGAATGCGTCAGACTGATTAGCACCTTCATTAACGGTATCAATAATTCACGTATAACGATGCCAGGATTGTCACGTGAGGTAAATTCAGAGGTGGGATACATGATTAGCTCACGATTGCACAGCGAATAAAGAGAACAGAGAGTGGTGGCCGCCGACCCATTATTGTAGGTGAGAATGTATTTTTGGTTCTCCTCATTTAGTTGAGTAACATTCTCCAAGACGCGTAAACACCGTTCTACGGTTTGCATATTGTCCAGAAGCGGCCGTGTCCAATTGATACCAGTTTCACTATACACATTATCGATAACAGGACGACAGCAATCATTTATTGTCTTTATGATGTGTTCTAAGCCGCCCAACTCCCGCAACTCCTCCTTGAACCATTCACCTGCCCGTTTAGATGTAAGTGACAGCAATGTTTCCATGGCTAATGTTCCAACGGTTATCGAATCGACATTTAGATGGGTGCCTTTGCCCTGGCCCTTGAGTTCTTCACACAGCTCTCGTACTCGCTGTTTGTTACGCTCGTAGTTGGCATGATCAGCTGGCGCTGCTACAGTTTGTTCCGATTCCAATAGCAACATCATCAATTCCAGCGAGTCTCTGTCCAAATCCATATTCAAACCTTCTTGCGACAATATATACATAATTGCCGTGGTGCATAGACCAAGTGAGAGATCACGACTGGCATCGGATAAGGCCTTGAAGAACTTGGTGACCACACCATGAGCTCTTACGTGCATACGAAAAGCAGGAACCATACATTTTGTGGCCAGTTGCAAGGCCGACAGGCACCGAGTAGATAGGGGATTGTGCGGTTGCAAGGCATCCAAAATGTACTCAACATCATCGTCCATTTCCTGATATTCACCGATTTCTTGGATTTGGTGGGCGGTCTTAACATTGCGTACCACAGTATAGTATTCTTTTGCTTTGCGATCAATTTTCACAGATGTTATGGTGTCGGTACTGGGGTCATCCATGCCAGTGTTCAAAGTTGTGATTGCTTGAGGGTTGGGTTTGATGACTCTAGTCATTTTTATTGGAGGTACAGGGCTGCTGCGTGTTTCATCGCTGTTAAAGTCATTGAATATGGCTTCGACTGTGGCATTGGTATTCTTCACTTCTGGTGGTTTGCTGGCGGTTGGAGTTGTGGCATTCTCTTCGCTATTTGCATCTCCATTGGCCGATGCTTCCCATCGATGTTTATACAAGTGACGCTTGCCAACCTGCTCAGTTTGCTCCGAGGGAACTCGACTCTTAAATATGCTGCCCTTCTTCTTCGATATTACCAATTTAACCGGTTCCACCTGTTGAGGATTGCTGTTGTTGACACTGGCGGACGATGCATCGGTCTGTTTTACAACCACAGTGTTGTTGACTTGAGTATCTAGGGTAAGGGTTCGCTTGAACTTGTCCTTTATTTTGTAATCTCTTAGTGGAGGTGATAATGACGGCTGATCGCCACCACCTAAACTGCTTGGCGGCCGCGGTAAGGAACACGAATCCAGGGAATTATTATCCTGTATATCCAATGAGGGTGTGAGACGATTTTCATTGAAAGGCTGTATAGGTGCAATTTGCGTGTCGATGTTGTCCGTTGTTGGCAAATCTAGGTTAAGTTGTTTAGCGGGCGGGGGTTGTGTATATTCTTCATTGTCCTCCTGTGATGACGGCTGCAGAACTTGGGTTGTTTGTTGGTTTTTCCGTTTGCGGCCATAGCTCTTTTGTGTAACTGGAGGATTGACGACTGAAGTCGTTGTCGGTGTGGCACTTTCACAAGGTGAAAGCTTATGATTTGCCACCGATTCTTGGTGATTGTTCGCTTTTGCCGTTAGGTTTATCGCAATTTTATTAATGTTGTTGTTATTGAGATTGTTGTTGTTGTTATTTGCATTACGACTGGCCCGGCCTCGTCTCGTTGTTACCACCGGCGCTAATACAGGATTATTTTCCTCTTCCGATTTATTGGGAGATGATTCTTCCATAATTGCTGGGGTTGTTTGTTGTGCTGCTGGACTCGTGTCATCTATAAGCATGGGTTCGTCTACCACCTTTTTGCCTCTTCGAGTCGCCCGTTTATTGGTTGCCGGGGTTTCGTCAGCTACTAAGGCGGAAGGTTGCAACACAGCGGCTGGTTTGCGTCCTCGCGTTCTTGGCGTTTGTGCTGGAGGAGTATCAATATCTTCAGGTGGTTCAGCATAGTTAGCTTTCGGCCTTCCTCTCGTTCGTTTTGCGGTTGTTGCAACAGCGGGAGTAGCAACCGACGCATCGCCATCGGCCACTTCTGTATCGGCTGGTATGTTTTCATTCGCCTCTTGTTCTAAGCCATTTTCTTTGACCAAATGTTGGGAGGGCGGCTGCGGCTGTGTTTCTTGCATTGCCACATCCATTGCCGCTGTGGTTTCGTCACCTCTTAAAACCGCTAGAATATCTTCCTGTAATGGTTCGGCTTCAACAAATGTGGCAGATGTCCTTTGTTGCTGACTACTCTCACCATCCATCATCATGGATTCCAGTCTTAGCTCAATATCAGATGGTGGTGCTACCAGCGAAGAATGCTGGCTTGTTTCAAGGTCACTTGTTATCACACTAGAGCCTCTGCTATGCAGTACGCAACTTTCTTCAGGAGGTGGTTGGATATCTAGCGGCGTGCTATTACCCTTTGATGATATACTACCCAGGACCGAGGATTGCGAATCGAAGTCTCGCTCGGATAAGGCTCCAGGAGATACAATAGTTCTAGCATTCGAATTTGATGGTGCAGCTGCGGGTAACAGGGGAGTAGGCGGGTGATGCGTCGTCGGCGTCGTATGTAATTGCTGATGTTCGTGTATGCTGGCGGGATGTGGTGAAGGTATTTTAAATTCATTCGTTGAGCAACCCTGTTGTGGCGCTAACTGTTCTACGGCCGAGTGCTTGAGATGTTTACGTTTCTTTTTCTTTGTTTTACCCTCCTTTCCAGAACGTCCTGCATTGCCTGAAGATTCGAGGAGTTCCTTCTTTGCTTTGGCCTTAGCTGCAGCGGCTGCAGCGGCTGCTAGAGCATTCCGTATGACATCTGTTTTGATGATTAATTTCAAGCGTTCCTTTGGTGGTTTATCTGGTGAAATTTTTACAGTACAATAGTTGATTTCCGGCGGCTCTGGTTCTGGCTCGGGTTCATCCTCTTCCTCCTCCTCCTCTTCTTCACCCTCTTCTTCTTCGCTTTCCTCTTCCTCCTCCTGTTCTTCGAGATGTGTACCAAGCCCACTAGCACTTAAATGATGGTGATGTGAAGGCGATGGAGGTGGTTTTAAAGGCTTTACTATGATCTTCGGTGTTGTTACTATGGCGGCGGGTGTAATGGAATCTTCAACGGAGGCTTGACGAGATGATTTTCCTATTGACAACGATAATGATGTCTGCGGCGTTTCGGTGAGAAGCGTTGTTGCAGCAGATGTTGTTGGTTCTGATGGAGGCGTTGATGAGGAAGCATTCGGTTGTTGTTCTTCACTATCTGTACTGACTAAGCGTGAGGTACCCTGTAATAAAATAAAAAAACACAATCTCATTAATTCATTTTCATCTCATTCAAAAAAAGGTAATTGAATACATAAAAAATATATTTTAATTAGTTGATATACCTGAAATCTCACAAAAAAAAACAAATACCGCTTTACCCAACGAACGTTCATTTACAAATGAGAAAACAAAAGCCACTTGAGAAAAGAAAAATAGTGAAAGCAAACAATAAGATTACAAGCAACCAGAGTGTGGCCAATGTGTTTATGATTGCAGTGAAGCAAACGACAAATACTGATCAGTGTAGCCAGATCATCGGTTGTAAAAAAGGCGCGTAAACATTTTCTCAGCCATCCCATATGAAGAAAGTAGGTTACTTCGTAAGAGAGAGAGAGAGAGAGAGTTGGGGAGGTAGTTAATACTTCTCTACAGCTGACATGTTATCATCAAAAGAGAAAAATGGAGAAAGAGTGTTTATAACAAACATGTGAGTGTGTGTCTGTTTGTAACTCTTGTAAATTCAATGCCGTTGTTGTTGCTACTGTCTCATGCTCGGACATTGGGAGAGGGGCCAGAAGCAATTGTTGTTGATATTGACATTTAGACTACACATAGCTATTTTTTGTTGTGATCTTGAAAATGTATCTAGGAGATATTCCTTTATAAAGCCAATTCAGATAATAAGATACATTTTTAAGATGATTTAGTAAATAAAATGGAAAAGTTTTCCAATGGTTATACTCAGTAAAGTGAAGAGATAATACAGTTTACATTTTACTTCGAGTTAAAGAACTAGGAATTTGTGAATATGTTAATTAATAAAACAAACCTTATTGAAATTCAATAAAGATACAAGGAACATATATACCCATAACGCACCTATAATAAAAAGAGTGCAACACTTTTCTAAAATACTACCTATACTGAATTATCTTTTTCCCATAAATCCGTAGATAGTCGTACCTAAAGCCGTACCTAGTTTAGACGATTTTTTAAGTTAATGCATAAATTAAAGGTATGGTGTGGAGTGGCTATATTCTAATTTAGAATATACGGCAATGGCGTACAAACACACAACATTAACTGAAAACAACAATTTTTGTATTAGAATATGGGGGTAGATTAAACACTTTCTAATGTTCCAAAAGGGATGAACCACCAACAAATTGACAATAATTTTCTTTCCTGTGAAGTTGACAGTAATTTTACAGTTTTTGAAATGTAATAGTAGGGCCAAAACGTTTGTAGCGCCAGGAAATATTGGTACTACACCCACGATGTTATGTATCGGTCGTCGAGCTGAGTCCATGTTAATTTGTAATCCAGCTAAGGGTCACAGTTTTGGTACTATCCTCACAGAATTTTGGAGAATGGAGTTAGGGTCAGAATAGAAGCCTATTTTTGGGAGAGATGATCACAAAAGGGAATGAAATGGACTAAAACTGATTTTTCCTGATCATGCAGTCGTTCTATTGGTCGCAACAAATCGAAGTGTAATAGTGCTTGGCGTTAAGAGTTTGGGACAGATCTAAAGTCTACCATTTTTGACGGTAATAGGTTAACTTTAAGCGGGTAAAATAAACCATTGGTTTTGTGTGAAAACTTCCAAAATGTCCATTCAACCCCGAATATTTTTAATACTGAAAGACCCTTTCGACGACATCACTAGTAAATGGAAATGGCACAACTGTCATTAAAAAAAATACACCCATGAATCTAATTTTTTAAATGTTTTAAATCAAAATACTTATAAGCAAAAATCCTTGGGGTAACATTCGGCAGCATGTTCAAGCAAGTCTCAGCTAACTGCGATAAATTGTAATATTTTCTCAAGGCTCTGGGGCGCGGACATTGTTGACCTCTTATAAAGTGAAAGGTCGGTCTGTGATTAGCCATGCGGCTCCAGTGCGATCCCCGAATATCAGTCCAAGGCAATGTAAAAGTATTTAGACCTGCCAAAATGCCCCCCTTATAACATCAACAGGGTGCCTTTTCATAACTCCAGTCAATCATTTACAAATTCATAGGCTTTCATTTTAGTGCCGGCTTGGGTTTACCGTGAGAGTCATACTAACCATTATATGGTGGATAGATCTCCCCAATACAGATGTGCCAGGAAGGACCTGCATGATCTAGAGAGAGAGAGGTCCAACGATAAAAGAGAGAACCTCTAGGTCAGGAACCCTATCAGGGCAAACCACACCTACCCATCTGACTCCAGGGAATATTTGGCTACGATCGACCTCACTGATCAATTCCTCTCAAGGAGACAAAATAAATAAATACAAAACCGTAAAATACAACTCCTTTTCTGTAACAGCCGACGACGTTTGTCTCTGTCTAGGACAATGATAATCCGCCAATCACCCATACATTAGAGGCTCTACTTATCAAAATCGTCCTCTATTATTGATGTACTTGAGGTTTGTTCTGAAGATTCTATGCAGCCTTATCCTCGTGGTTTTCCCCTTTTTGCAGTGAACTGGAATCTGGAATCAAAGACCGCATTATGTGGGTTTGTTGCATTCCCATATCGGTCCGTTAATGTCACTATCCTTAATCGGCAGAAAAGCAAAGTTTTTTGATTCCTATTATGTTATCCTGAAAGGCATTATAAAATCGACAGGCTAAACATATTATTTCTGATCCAGATTCTCACAGTAAATAATAACTCCCGTCCAATTGTTCTTCATGCAACAGGTTTACTTCTTCGCTCGGTTCGTTGTTGTTTTAAATTGACTTGTGTAAAATTGTTTTGTTTAGAAATTATTTCCGTATATGTATTTTCATTTGTTGTGAGTTTCCATTTTCGAAATTCATCATTGAAGGTTGAAATTGGGCAATTAGGGTTTCTACTTGTTGAAACACAAAACATTCAGCGTTCTAATTGCTGTTAAAAGCCGTGTTATGGCTAACGAAAGTATGTTTAGTATAATTATGGAATATACAAACAATTATAGTTTTTTTTTTGTTTTATACTTTTTGTTCGAACCCATATAAGCTAAGGGCAACTAACCTATTAGAATTAAATCTTCACAAATTCCGTTAATTTTTGTTGAGATTCCAGTAGACAATTTTTACGGCGATACATAGCTGACTAGCGCATTTTCCTTAGAAATTTGGTCTGTTTTTCTTAGCTATGCGGAATGAATTTATCTGAAGGACCTTTTTGGCCATTCCACCCGCCCAGGTGGGCAAGAAATAATTCAAAGTTTCTATGTAAGGTGGGATATATCTAACAAAGAATACCGAATAAATAATAAATTGATGGCAGGTCGTTGAAGGAATCAAAAATTTATACGTATGTAATCCCTGGCATCATAAACAAATATGCCGTGAATAGAGTTGTTAAAATCCGCCCCTTACCTAGACAATCCAGTGAAGATTTTGTGCCACTAAGTTAAGTACCATATGTATTATTTATATTGTCCACAAATTATGCTCCATACTTTCAACTACGATGTCAAGACTACTCAACTTTCGCTGTACGAGAAAATACTACAAGATAGGAAACGTTTCTCCGAAGTGCAGGTCTACTATCTGTTACAAGAAGCGTTAATTTTGTTTGTCTATTTCTCATTTTCTATAACCACAAATTGATTTTCTAGCGCTGTCAGTTTATGTTTGATTTTCTAAAAATCTATCTAACTAGGCCGGTAAAAAAATTTTCGCAAATGGTTAATACCAATCCTTGTTATCAAAACAGATGGCCTTAGATGGAGAAGATGAATCGAGTGACATTGTATTTGTATCTCTGAGTTTTTAAATTAGAAGTGGGTTGCCAAAACATCAACTAATATGGGATTATTTCTTCAGTTCTAAAGTCCCAGACAACTCCTAGTAACATAGTTGCAATCACTATTTCAGGCTTAGGGGTGATGTCTCGACCAGATACTCCCTATTTGCATTGAACAATTTTTAATTTAAAAACCAAAAACGGTACTTCACCTCGCCAAGGGACTTATGACTAAAGTTCCTATGTATCTGATCCGCCAAATATCACTTATCATGCAATCTTCCAATTTTCCTCCGAAAATAAAAAATGTATTAAATTAAATCTTGAAAAAAAAAATACTACTTACTTTAGATATCCGCAAGACAATTGGAGGATGTTCGGGTGTTTTGGAAGCTGCACTATTTACAATGGTTTGTGTTTGATGTAGTATTGTACCATGCGTCTGTTGTTGCTGCTGCGATGGTACAGCGGGTGGCGGTAATACCGGTTCTGGTGTATCGCATGATGCATAAACATCATCGACTTTGTGAGCAGGCGTTGGCGGTGGTGTCTCTTGGACACTAATAACTTTATCTGCTTTCTTTTGTTTCGGTACTACAATATCTTTGATGGGAGTTGGCATACGATCATCGTAGTCATCTTCACAATAGTTGACAGCCTTGCGTGCACGTCCCAATATACGCGATGGTGGAGCTTCAGGTTTAAGTTCTTTTTCGGCTTTCTTCTTTTTTGTTGATTTTGGTTCGGGACGAGGTTTATCAACATCCGTGTGACCTTCATTGATACTATCGTCCAATGCACTGCCATCTGAGTTAGTGGTGGTCGTGCTTGATTTCTTAGATGATTTTTTGGGAGATTTCTTTTTCCGCTCTGCAGAATTAGTTTTAGGTATTTTCATTTTGATAGGCTCCCGTATGGGTGTGCCTAAGAAGGAGGGCATTGTACCACCTGTGGCGCTGGAATCACGTGTCGGCGAAGCAGGTGTGCGGGGAATTTGTTGGATAATTTGTGCTATAACTTCGGGCGGTGTAGTATTGCGTGATTTAAAGAATTTACGTGGCTTTGGAGGATCCGCGGATGATGATTGGTCATCATCTTTATGCGATGCTGGACTTTCTTGAGGACTGGCAGCGGCCACAGCAGCTGCGGCTGCTGCTACGGCTGCCGGCAATGCAGACATTGTATATGTTCTTGTCGAGGTGAAACCCATTTTACCCCACTTGCCCATGGTACCTAAGGAACGGGCTACGGTTGGACGATTTGTGCTCTCTTTGGAGGTTTCCAAAGGAACCACAATCTGTTTGCCGCCCCAGCGAGACATTTTGTAGCTTTATTATTTATATGCACTTGATGCTTTGTTTTTTTCTATTGCTTTGTTGAAATTTTAATTTACTTTGTACCCACCATTACTGGGAATGGAGGGGGATACTAGTTTTTATTGTTGTGTGTATGCCTTTCTTTTTTGTTGTTTTTATTACTGTTTGGTTAATATTTCCATCATGATGGTGGTTATTTTACAATTGGTCATGATTTATTTTGTCACATCGTTCACTCATACATTAATATGTATGCTATTTTTTGTTAAATAAATACTGCTTTGGTAAAAGAAACGAATATTTAATTTTGTTTCGAAGATAAAAACACGAAGAATCAAAACAATGCACTTTAAACGTCAATTTTGAGATGTTTCTTTCTCGTTTATGTCATCGCACACACATACAAACGGACAAATATGAAACCAAAGCAAGCAACCAACAACAACACTGCACGGCTAGTTATGAGACAAGAGGTAGGTTGAACGAGAGAGTGAGAACTTCGTCTTCGTATGGAATTGCAGAAAATGCAAATAATAACGAAAAACCAAGATATTTTTAAATTTGGTTTTAAAAAAGCATTGAGAACATTACTTTAAATAAATGATATCCACTATATTTTTGTAATTTTGCACTTGTTTTCTATTCAATTTTATTCGCTGACACAATTTTTTCAATTTTCTCTCTCTCTCATTTCATTCATAACTGAGATTTCTATTTCTTGTTGTTGTGTGTTTTTTTCAATTCTTCTCATCTTTCTTTCTTTCTTTTGCATGTACACGAAGAAGAAATACAGCTCTGCTTACACATTTCAGCTGAATGACGGATATGTTTGTATGTGCGTGTGTGGAGATCTGGTTCCCACTTTTACTTATTGGCGCAATTTTCCCTATTGCTTTCAATGACATATTCACTATTTCGACACTTCTTCTTTATGTATTTTTTAAAATTGTACAATATTTTCAACATATTGGATTGGCGCAACGGCCCCGCGTGGACCCTTGTTGCTCTCTAATACTATATATTCACAATAATATTTTGCTTTGGAACAATAGGAGCGAGCACTACGGCGACGACAACGTAAATATGTGCTGCCCGCTCTGCTTCTTCTACTTTTTTCTACTTCATGTACGTATTTTCACAATTAGGTTTTTCATTTGATCAAAATTTTCATTTGCATTTTTCATGGTGAATTTCTTGTTCCGCCACTGACTAATATGCCACTTAGCAAGGCAGCCTATCCGATTTTCGTTCTAAACACGTTTTTATTTGCAAAATTAGCTAAAACTTTATTAAAAATAGTTTTAAAATATTTTATACGAATTCACACAGCACGTATAATTGAAGCCATTTTATCATATATTTCTCGCTCTCTCTCAGAGATAGAGGGAGATAGCTATAGATTAGTACAGTAACAAAACGAAATACCAAAAACATTTGACAGGGTTGTATCTTTCTGTGTATCTTTCGATGCGAACTTCCCTTGAGGATTGTTGGTACATATTAATAATTGTGGAATAAATCATTGAAAAGGAATTAAGGCAGTCTCATTTCGTAAATTTAGTATGGTGGGCTATTTTCACCATAATCTAACTTCTTAATTTTATTTTAATTAAATTTATTTTATGTCTGAGATCGTTGCTGATTACGAATGACTGTTTTACATTAATAATAAAGGCAAGATTTCATATAATAAATATACATTGGAAATTTGGTGGATTTTCAATGAAAAAGCTATTATCATATGCCACGTTCAGGTGGTACTTGATTCTCTCTGTTTTCTGTAATTTACACCATAGTAGAAGAATAAAGTTATTCGCATTAACACAGATGCTGGGACAATGAAATGCCAAACTAATTTTGGAATTTTAAATTTTGAATGAACATTTTTTTCAAATTTGTAAAAATTGTTAAAAATGTATATTATAACAATCGCCGATTGGCGTCGTATAGGAAAACATATACAAATCTATTTTGAAAAAAATTGTCATATCGGTAATGGCACCATTTTTTAAAGTGGAAATTGTTTATAATTTTCAAATAATTTTAAAGTTAATTATAATATTTTGCAACAACAAAAAGTTAATTATAATATTTTCTACTCAAGATGAGTGACATTTGTTTTGTAAAATTAAAAGATAAAGCCGTCTGGCATTGTCGCGTAGTTTAAGTTTAACAATTCTTTATCTTTTTACACATATATGTCTATTGAAATACACCATGAATATAGGTAGATATACAAACACTTGGGAACATTGATATGTCAAAAGTTTAAAAGGCTTTTTCAAAAATAAGTAGGTATTTATGTTTTGTTATACGACGCCAATAGCAGTTTGTTATGACATTAAATTTTTAAAAATTATTACCAATTTGAATAAACTTTCATTCATAATTTTCAATTTATTTATAGGGTTGCCAAATTCAATTAAAGAAAGGAGTTTACCTATAATGTTTCGCAATGAATTGTACCATACACATTAAAAATAACTTTTAAAATTTGCTCTGTTCCAGAACTTCAAGAATCTAATAGTTTTGCAAATTTGTAGGTTTATAAAATTTTACCCTGATTTGTTTTAAGTCTCTAGGAATTTTGATATTGAAAGTGGGCTATATAGGTCACAATGGAGAGAAGGTAGGCTAATTTCACCCTACCTTGCTCAACTTCAAGAAACTAGGAAAAATGCAACTCTGTACCGGATGCAAAAATTGGTTTTGTTTTTTTTTTACCAAAATGTTTATATTGGAGGAATCCACAAACCATAAATGGAATGTTGGAGTTATTCCAAAAATTGAATCTAATATATTAGGCCAATTATCCATTATTTGAAAACCATAACGAAATTAAATCAAAAAACTTTACAAAATAAAGGTTACGAAAAAACTGTTCTTACCAAAGCTTTTCGGCAATGGACGTGAGCTTTCGAGTTAAAAAGAATACGTTTAAATACGAACGATTTGAGCGAAAGCAACTTTTTTACAAGAACATGCTGTTAAAACCAGAAATCATGGCATGAAATGAAAGCGATAGCTTCTGAAGGAGATCGTACTGAAAACTCTTAACTCGTTGACACATAAACTATTGTTTCTCTCTTTTACAAATATTCTGACATTTATGGTTTCATATTCAGTTATTTTGTTATTTTAAAAGTTCTGGAACAAACCAATTGTTATTTAACGCTTATCTGAATTACACGAGCGCCATCTAGTTGTCACATAACCAAACAAACAGAACTGTAAGTTAGTAAAAATGTAACGCAATAAATGTTTTTTATGGCCGTTAACAGTTCAAAACTAAACACAAAGCAAAAACATTGTAATAGTTCAATGAAATTTATTTACAGAATAAAATAAAAATATATTTTTAATCAAAATCGAATTAAAAACTAATTTAATTTTTCAGTATTATTTTAAACATTGTTTTGGCATTTTTACGACCATTCACAATATAGGCCAGCGGGTCATCTTTGGATGATTCCATTAAATTGTCACAGGTTGTCTGATTGATGGCAAACATAAATGACAAATCAATGTCATAGCGTGGTAGTTTTTCTCTGCAATGGGAGATGCTAATAGAGTTAAAATATTAAAAAAATCTACGCGTAGAAGAGTTTGACGGCGAAGAAACAGAGCTCACAATTAGCTCTCTTAAACTCCTTCCTTCCACTTAGAAATCGATACTAAATTTGAAAACTTACTTTAAAAAGTTAATAACATTTTCTCCCAAGGTGGGCTCGCGCGACAACAGCAGGGCGGATAGATAGCGTGGATGTTTTTTCTTTTCCGCACAGTGCATGATTAGACCCCAAGACTTGTAATCTGTATCCAGGACATAAGTATTGTAAATTCCTTCATCTGAAAATGTACATGGGCGATTAATTTAAGAATATTAAATAGGCCGGGAAAACAATTCGACTTTTCGTATTTGTAAAACATTTTTGTTCATACTTTTGGGTGGGATTGAGGAGCTGGAAATTAATTAGAAATATATCTAAATTATCGGGATGTCATAAAATACCCCATGTGTACAATTCAGTGATCTTAGGCGTTAGATAATAAAGGTTATGATCCACATACACAGATATCGATATGTTCTTTACAGGGTGAGATAAAAAAACTGCAACAAAGTCAACGCCATAATTTTTACATTTTTTTTAATTTTATTGAATGAAAGCAAAAATTGTCGAAAATAGCATCAAATTTTGGCACAAATTATGGCCTTCAAACGGCCAATGAAACCGTTACACGCTGCCCGAATGTTGATCCGCGGTATTTTGGTCCATTCCCGGCAAAGCGCTTGCTTGAGGTGATCTACACTTCGGTATTTTTTGGTGCCAACCTTGCTTTCCAAATTACTCCAGACACAATAGTCCATCAATGTGCGCTGGAAATGAAGCGAGGAACCTCATTTTGTAACCATTCTTGGGCGGGGCGTGCTGAGATGGTGCTGATTCCTGTTGGAATGTCCAAGGTCTGCGGCCAAAATGTTTGCGTGCACATGACTTAAATATACTCTCCACAATATTTTCGCGATAATATTTGGCATTTATTCTGATGTCACGGTTGATTAATATGAGCGGAGGGCGAACATCGGCTGTTATGGCGGCCCACACCATCTGGTGGCTAACCGAAGGTGCACATTTTCAGCTGACCTCTTTGGCAAGTAAACACGAGCATTTTGTTTGTTTACAAACTTTTGGACAACGAATGTTTTCTCATCGGAGAAAACCAAATTCGGCAGTTCACCACTTTCGGCCAAGCGAAGCAACTCTTTATCTCTTTTGGGTCTATTTTCTTTCTGCTGCGGTGTAAGTTCTTGCACTTTTTGGAATATCAATGGCTTTACCCCGAGTGATTTGTGTGGGTTTTTGGAAATTCATATTAAAAGGGCACAAAAAGTACTAAAAATTGTATACTTGAACGGATTGAGCTAGAATTCGAAAATTTGGAATGAGAGTTACTGATGCAGTGCCGAATGTACCTATCAAAGGGTTTTTTGGAAATTCGAACTTTAAGGTTATGAAAAGTTCTAAAATTGTACTAAACTTCGAACAATTACTCTATTTGGTAGAATATGAACGGATAAAGCTAAAAAACCTTGAAATTTTGAATGGAAATCAAAATTGGAATGTAAATGTTGATATGTGAAGGTGATTTTGGAAATGTGTACTAAGTGTGTAAACTGTACAAAACGGTACGAAAATTTGAAACAGATTGGTTTAGGATTAATTGATGAAGCTGGAATTTTGAAATTTTGTATTTGGGTCCCTGTTAATGGTAGGTTTGTGATAATGTATGGTCTTGGAAATGTGTACTAGAAGTGGCCGAAAAATACTAACTAGTACTATATTTGATAAAATTTCGGTTGGTATTAGGGTCGAAGTTCTTGTATAACTTGGACATATGGAGGTGGTTTGGGAAATGTGTACCATAATTGTACGAAAAGCAGTGAATTGTATTGGGTAAAGGAATAAAGCTTACATCCTGAAATTTTATATGGAGGTGGTTTTGAAAATGTGTACTGGAGGTGGTTCTAGAAATATGTACTAGAAGTGCACAAAAAGTACTAAATGGTACTATATTTGATAATAAATCGGTATTGAGTTAATAAATAGTGTTTGCAAACTTAAACTTGGTATTAAGGTAGCTGTTCATGTGTAGCCTGGTCAGCACCATCTCAGAAATGGGTGCTATAATTGTACGAAAATCAGCAAGTGGTACTATATTTGGTATAGGTTCAAGGGATACAAATAAAATTATAAAATTTAATATATATATATTACTGAATGTATCTGCGTTTGAGATTTGGAAGTGCGTCCTATATTTCTACGAAAATTATTAAATGGCACTAAATTTGGTATTGGGCGAAATAATAAATCTAAAATTCTAAAATTTTATATAGATGTCACTGTTGGTGTCTGCGCTTAAGATACGGAGATGGTTTTGGAAATGCTCCTAATTTTTTTTGTTCGAAAAGTACTAAGTGGTACTAAATTGGGTATATTGGATGAAGTAATACAGCCAGAATCCTCAAATTCATATTTAGGTCTCTGAATGCGTCTGAGATTAAGAAAGGGAGATTGTTTTGAAAAACCATAATTTTACCGTACGAAGAAAACCAAATAGTACTAAATTTGGTATTGGAATCCCAAAATTAGATATTAATGTCACTGTTGGTGTCTGTGGTTAAGATATGGCGGTGGTTTTGGAAATGTGAACTATAATCGTATTAAATGGTACTAAATGTTAATGATGGGGAAAATTACAGAGCTAAGATCCTGAAATTTGATGTTGAGCTCACTGTTGGCATTTGAGGTTGAGATATGGAGATTGTTTTGAAAATGCGTTTTTAACTGTATGAAAAGTACTAAATGCTACCAATTTTGGTATTGGGCAAAGGGATAGAGCTGAAATAGTGATATTTGATATATATATCGTTGTTAGTGTATGTGGTACTTGGATCGCTGTTGGTGTCTAGTGAAATAGGATATTTACTGATCTTCTTCTATAGTTTCTAAGCATCGTACTCACATATATCCTCAGTGTGTATCCAATGAGCTGGTGTATTGAAATCCGGAATTTCCCATGTAATATTGCCCTGCAACTTTTCACGTAGGGGGTCTTCGGCGTAAATGTAGCTGAAATTCATGGTGATCTGGAAAACAAAACAAAAAAAAAAATGAAACAAAGGAAAATGAAAGTATTTTAATAACAAAACAAAACAAGAAATCAAGCCTCCTGTTGATGTGATTGATGTCACATACACTGGATGGCCAAACCTGTAATTCAGATGAGTTACTTGGTTGCGCATCTTTTGATATACATTTCGTTCCATACCATCTCCTAGCAGCCCAGGGCTTGCAAAATGAAACTTCTCGAAAAAGCAAGAAATGGAATGTCTTGATAGCATAAAAAACACATATTTGTTAATGGAAGAAGACAATGGCAACATTTCCAATGTCCAAGTCAATAAAGATCAATGGAGACAGCAATGATGATGATGATGGTGGTGATGCTCATATTGATGATGTGTTACATTGATAATTTCCTGTGACCACTGACCGACGGTCACATCTTTCACAAGTTTCGAATTACCTTTTGCCCAAGACTTTCTTCGGTGAAGATGGTGAAGAACCTGTAACACTTTCATTGCATTATTATGCCTAAAGGAGGGCAAGGGTATCTTGAATTGAATCAAATATTTGGGAGAAAATTAACAAAACGTACCACGCCACAAAGGAAGAAAAGGAAACCAACAACAGTGGAAGGAAATTGCTTTCAATACTGATATGTTCGTCACCGAATCGGGGTTGAGTTTGTGGGCTATAAATATTGTGATACCCTACTGTTTCCACTCTACACCACAAAGTGGTCAGGGTATTATGTCTTTGTGCATTTGTTTGTATAAGGCAAAATGAAACGAGATATACTCATAGTTCCTTTTGATAATCTGCATAGAATCATATTCTAAGTCGATTCATACATGTCCGTTCGTCTGTATTGTAATTGGAAATTATCGATTAAAATTTAGATATAGTTCCCATATATATCTTCATCCGATTTGCCTTTTATTGTACATCAAACGTGTAATATCAGCTCAAATAGTATGGAACAAATTAAGCCTGGAAATAAGTATGTCAAATTTGATCGAAATCGATTCAGATATAGCTATAGCTCCCCAATATATTGTTCATCCGACATTAGATATAGCATTAGCTCCCATATATATTGTTCATCCGATTTGTTTTAGTTTTTATTTGTTATATGAAGCTCTACTAAATATGCAAAGGTTATCATAAAGTCAGCCCGTCCGACTTTTAAATTTTCTTTACTAGTTTAATGATAAAACAAGTTAAAAAGTATCAGTCGGTATTGCCGACAGATATATACTCTCAGCCTCTGTTCGATTATTTAAATATAACTTGACTAGTGTTAAATTATTCAAACGTTTGACCCTCTATGGAGCAAGTTCCGAAGGAATGGGCCAATATTGTCCATTTCGTATCGGACCCAAAAATATGATATAAATATTCCGACGTTCCTGGTATGAATTATATCGACTCACTCCTTCACTTTATATGAAATATGTAATAATTTTTAGAAAGTGTTAAAATGTGCGTGATTTACAGGATAGAGTCCACCGAAATATTCCACTTTTATACTTCATCTGATACAAATAAAAATATTGAGCGAAATATTGGGCAAAATTACAAGAAAGGATATTTATGTCCAATTGTATGCGAAATCATAAATACCGATAAATTTCATATTCATATCAGGCTTCTTATTGAGAGAAATATTGGAGAATAGCAAGTAGTAAAGTATTGCTAAATTGTTTCGAAAGTTATAACAGATATAATTATTAAAAATTGTGCTTCCAGAAGGGGTTGGCAGATGTTAGCAAAAATATTTGTGTGTGTGAAATTTGAAGAGAGTTGGATATTTATTTCGCTTTATTTGAGTGTTTTGTTTTACAAATTCTTGAACCCTATGTATGGGGGAGAAGAAATGTTTCAATCTATACCAATTTTATAACAGATCCTGTGTTGATAGAAATATTGAGATGTGCCAAGTCTAAATGGAATCGGATGTTAATTTCGCGTTTTATCAGCTTCATGGGTATTCAAAATTTCGACACTTTGTGGGGGAGGTACCAGAAGGAGTGAACCGATACATCCCATGTTAACACCAGATCTTGGGTTTATGAAAATATTGAAATGTGTGAAATTTGAAGACGTTCGGATCCTTACATCACATTATTTAAGAGTTAAAATTATTCAAAATGTTGGCCCTTTGTGGGGGAGGTACTTGATGGAGTGGACCAATACTGTCCATTTTCGCACCCGACCTAGCACTGACACAAATATTAGGATTTGCAAAGTTAGAGCCAAATCGGCTAATTGTTTCCTTTTCCGTGCATATTATATATATATATATATATATATATATATATATATATATATATATATATATATATATATATATATATATATATATATATATATATATATATATATATATATATTTTTTTTTTTTTTTTTTTTTTTTTTTTTTTTTTTTTTTGAAAATTTTTACCTTTTGTGGGGGAGGTACCAAAAGAAGTGGACCGATGTATTGCCCCTTAATACCAGACCTTGTGTTAATAAAAATATTGGGATGTGTGAAATTTGAAGACAATCGGACTCTTACATCACATTTTATAAGAGTTGTAATTATTCAAAATTTTGACCCTTTGTGGGGGAGGTACTTGATGGAGTGGACCGATATCGTCTATTTTCGCACATGACCTAGCATTGATGAAAATATGAGTATTTGCAAAGTTCAAGCAAAATCGGACTATCGTTTCTCTTTTTGTGCAAAAAATATTTTTTTGAAAATTTCGACCTTTTGTGGGGGAGGTACCACAAGGAGTGGGCCGATAAATTCCGTTTTTGCACCAGACCTTGGGCTAATAATATTATTAGGATGTGTGGAATTTGAAGACTATCGGACTCTTAGATCACATTTTATAAGAGCTTTAATTATTCCAAATTTTGACCCTTTGTGGGGGAGGTCCCGGATGCAGTTGACCGATATTCTCCATTTTCGCACATAACCTAGCACTGATGAAAATATGAGGATTCGCAAAGTTCGAGCAGAATCGGATTATCCTTTCCCTTTCTGTGCAATAAATTATTTTTTTTGAAAATTTTGACATTTTGTGTGGGAGGTACCAGAAGGAGTGAGCCGATATTGGTCATCTCCGAACTCGATCTAAGTTTGACAAAAATATTACGATGTACGAAGTTTGAATCAAATCGGATACTCCCTTCGAGAGTTATCGTGCGCACCAGCCAGACAGACGGACGGACGGACATCGCTAGATCGACTCCAAATGTTCTGAAACGGATTTGGTCCAAAGAGACCTAGGGTCTAAAATGATATATACCCTCTGTAGCCATATGGCTCAGGGTATAACTAGTAAAAGAGAAACATTTTAAAATTGCTCTGAGATAATTGTTTTGTTCAGGAATTAAGGAAACGAAAAATTAGTAAATTATTATCTAGGTATTCATCATTCAATTATCACTTATCCCCCAATGTTGCCAGGAAAACAATATTTCCCCCATCTACCGTTTTGTTCATCAACACCCAAAAATCCGACAATATGGTCACATGATTTTCACATACCCCTGAATTGTATGTGATGTACTCACACACACACGCATACACTCTCATACATATACGTATAAGCGCATCACTTCAAAGTCGATTATTACCTGTAATAATGTCTGCAATCGTCGACGACTTTAGAGATTTGCATCGCGCCCATCTTTTTCAAGCTGGCAAAAAAACACAGTCCACAAAGTTCAGAGCATTGAGGTGCAGGGTGCACCGGTGTAAACGCCCAGCCAATCGCCAAAGAAAAATGTGAATAAAGTCTGCGAAAACTTCGTGCCTCTTTCCACGTTAGTCACAAAAACAAAATTCGAACAATGAACCGAACCGTCTGTCAATAACAGTTATTCATGCTTGGAGTATTGAATAACGTGTCGATGATCATTAATCGAAAACATGTGAATAGTTAGTTAGTTGATGCAGTCCAGTTCCAAGTGTTGTCAATGGGATGTAAAATATGTGAAAATTTTGTTATTTTATAGGGAAGACCATTTGGACTACGGAGAGAAGAAGAACAACACTTGGTCTTCTATGGAGAAGAATACCAACACTTGGTCCTCTATTGAGAGTAGAAGACGAACACATGGTCTACTATGGAGAAGAATACAAACACTTGGTCTCCTATGGAGAAGACCTCTATTGAGAGTAGAAGACGAACACGTGGTCTCCTATGGAGAAGAATACAAACACTTGGTCTTCTATGGAGAAGAATACCAACACTTGGTCCTCTATTGAGAGTAGAAGACGAACACGTGGTCTCCTATGGAGAAGACCTCTATTGAGAGTAGAAGACGAACACGTGGTCTCCTATGGGGAAGAATACAAACACTTGGTCTCCTATGGAGAAGAATACCAACACTTGGTCCTCTATTGAGAGTAGAAGACGAACACATGGTCTCCTATGGAGAAGACCTCTATTGAGAGTAGAAGACGAACACGTGGTCTCCTATGGGGAAGAATACAAACACTTGGTCTCCTATGGAGAAGAATACCAACACTTGGTCCTCTATTGAGAGTAGAAGACGAACACATGGTCTCCTATGGAGAAGACCTCTATTGAGAGTAGAAGACGAACACGTGGTCTTCTATGGAGAAGAATACAAACACTTGGTCTTCTATGGAGAAGAATACCAACACTTGGTCCTCTATTGAGAGTAGAAGACGAACACATGGTCTCCTATGGAGAGGAAGACCAACACTTGGTCCTCTATTGAGAGTAGAAGACGAACACGTGGTCTCCTATGGAGAAGAATACAAACACTTGGTCTCCTATGGAGAAGAAGACCAAAACTTGTTTTTTTATGGAGAAGAAGATCAACACTTAGTCTTCTATGGAGAGGAAGACCAACACTTGGTCTTCTTGGGGAAGACAGAAAAACGCTACATGGACAACACCGTAGCAAGTTTAACCTTTACAGTTTATTTTGCCGATTTCTGTGCTTAATCCAATGCCCTCCACTTGAAATTATAAATAGAATATTAAAGTCGGGGGACACAGAGGAGGAGCGAGATCACTTGGTCTTCTATGAGGAAAATCACTTCGTCTTCTACGGGGAAAAAGGACATTTGGTCTTCTATAAGGAAGATCACTTAGTCTTCTGCGTGAAAGACCACTTAATCTTTCTCGCTTGTCTTGGGGATAACAGAAAAACGCTACATGGACAACACGGTAGCCAGTTTAACCTTTACAGTTTATTTTGCCGATTCCCTTTGAAATTATAAATAGAATATTAAACTCGGGGAGACGGAGGAGGAGCATGTATGTTATTCATTGACTCCATTCAAATGGTAAATTTGGGATGCTCCTTCTGTCTTATTGCTGTAGCTACATTCAATGTACGTTTTTGGCGCCCAACGAAACTCATACACACACAGATTAATCAACAGTTTTCGCTTTTCACTGTAATGTTAATTTGATGCACTCTCCCATAGCCCGTTTGTAAAAGGTACCAACAATGTTTTGCAAAAAAGATAACCCTTGTCTTTCCAGGAAAATAATTTAATATTGCCGTTGGCTAGCAAATAGTAGCCGTTGATGGTTTCTCAAGCTATCCATCGTCGTTTTGGCAACAGGAGGAAGTCATAGTCTCTGCAAATGTTTCAGCTTAGAGTACCGGGAGTAAAGTGCTATTTTCTGGTAGTTGTCTCGACTTCTTCCTCCACACATCTTCTTTCGTTTAGCTTTTTGTTTTTGGTATTTGTCAAGTGAAAGTTGTTGTCTGGATGTGTCTGAGAAGCAAAGTGACGGCGTTGACTGCAATTGTGAAAAATTTCACTTATGCGCGTGCGCAATGGCATTAACGGCAGCGCATCCTTGGTGGCGGTGGCGGCGCAAACCAGTTCCTTTTTGTTCTTAAATGTATTTTTTACTTTCGGTTTTTTACTTTTGACTTTTATGCATCCATTCACATTCATTTAGAAACTCATAAGAAATGCAAGGAATTTGGGTGGCGGAAAGAAAGGGTATCCTTTGCCGGTAGTAAAAATTATAAATGGCCGTTATTGTGGTTGCCGTTGTTGTTATAAATGAGTCTACTTACATGTTGATCGTCACTGGTAAATGTGAAATGGCTACGCATGCAGGCATATTCCGGCAATTCTTCTGTAGACGCATAATACTGCACCACATACCAATTACCCATCATGGGTTCCAGATCGAAATTACGTTGAGCTCGCACCTGAAATTAATGAAACAAAAAAATATCTTAAGGCAATGAAAATGCAATTAAATATAAATCGGTGAAGTGGACCGATTAAATGGTCTCGAAACAAATGAGAGAAAGGGATTTTTGTTGAGTAGAGACCATGCATTGTAACTAGAAAACATCCAGAGTATGATTATTTTGGAAATAATTAGTTTCATGGATATCGAAGTGATACTGGGATAAGTGTGGTATATTCAGTTCGTCATTCCGTTTGTAACTCATCGAAATAATAATTTTAGACATAACAAATTTTATATATATTCTTGATTAGCGTAAAATTCTAAGACGATTTAGCCCTGTCCGCCGTCTATATAGGTCTACGATATCGTATATCCCCTATATAACTGTACCTTCCTATATTCGGTATTTCGATAATTTTTGCAACATTTTTTAATGGAATTTCTAAAAATCCATACTAGAAGTTCTTTTTAAGCAGCAGCTGAAAGAGAAATGTCTATATAAGTCTACGATATCGTATAGCCCACATACAACGGTACTCCTCGGTATTCGTTATTTTGACGGTTTGAGGGACATTATTTACCGGAGTTGTTTCAATTTTCGTATTTGGAGCTCGTAATGGAAACTACAGCCTATGACAGATTTTTTTTTTATGTAGGTCCAGGTCTTCGTATTGGCCCCATATATCAGTACCTCCCTATATTCGGTATTTTGATTATTTTAGGTTCAATAATCAGAATTTGAAATTTCGTATTTGAAGTTCCTAATAGCTGCTACAGCCTGTGGCAGAAAATTATTTATGCAGGTCCATAGCCCCGATATAACGATACCTTCCTACCTTTATTTTAGTTACATTATTCACCCTTTTTTTTATGTTTGGTATTGGAATATTGTAATTGCATTTGAAAAAAAAAATTGCCTATGTAGGTCAACGTCTTCGTAAAGACCCAAATATATTCGGCTATATTCGGTATTTTAAAGATTTGAGCAGAATTGTTTATAGGTTTTATTTTTTTGAAAATTCCCAAATTCGTTCCAAATGGTGTAGGGTATTCAAAGTTCGGCCCGACCGAAGTTACTGGTTTTTTACTTGTTTTGTGGTACAGGTTATAATGACTTTGTGCATTTGTGATGATGATTTTCAAAGAATCAAATTTTGGTCGATCCGATCCGTCTTTCTTTCTTGCCATGTATTTTTTTTAGTCAAATTACAGATCGCATTTATTGTCCGATTGAGATGAAATTTTCCAAAATAATTTTTTTTGAGGAGGACCACTTGGTCTTCATTTGGACCATATCTGCCATATTGTTTCAAATAGAATGCATTTCGGCACATCCGACTAAATTCAACCTAGAATTAAGTACTTGAAATTTGTTCCAGATCTAGCTATAGCTCCCATATATTCGATTTGGTGTTTATGTCCTCCACATTCGTAATATGCCCTCCACAACAATGATAATTGGTACAGGGTTGCCCATATTCGACGGACCCATCTGGCAAGGCCATAACTTTTGACAGAGATGTCACATCGCTTATTGACATACCGCGTTTGAAGCGTCAGTCCAAGCAGATTTTACCATGAACCAATACACGCCACGCGAGCGCTCTGAAATAGTTGAAATTTACAAGAAGTCAATTGTGAAAACTGTAATGCCAGTATCGCCGTATTTCTTTAAAACAATTTGAAAGTTTATCTAAATCGTTAAAGTTTAACGCAATAATGCTCTAGTCTATAGTACTGTACACACAAACTCATTTCACTAGTCGATAACATGACAATTTCATACCTTGATTCAATATATACGTGCTTATCAGCTGATCTCAGCTTGTAGCGGAGGTTTAGTGATTGTCGTGATACATTCTAACATTCTCTTCTTTAAACACCATCATCGAGTTCACATCAAATTTTTTATCCAAGCAACAACTTTGTGTCTAATACAAAAAAAATAAAGAAAGAATATTGGGACAGTTTATTTCAAAACTACACAACTTTAAATTCAAACAGGTAATTATAAAAGATAATGGACTACGAGTGAAACCCCCCTAGAAAGGATCATTATGGTGACATCATCTGTTTTTTTTTTCTTCTTCAGAATTCATAAATTTTACGCCCACGTGTTACCTACAATTTTAATTCCGGAGAAATCACTTATCATACCACCATTTTTTTTGGAAACCAGGACTCGTATTGAGGTTACGAAAGCTGGTTCCTAACGATTCTTCGCATTTAATTGAGTACACGTGGCCGTTTCAAGCAACCCCTGACTCAGGAACTTGTCTACCAATCCATAACCTCACCGAATTCTTCTGGAAAGAAAAATTTTTACAACTTAAAACATTAAGTTCAACCCATTCCTCATATATTTGACGGAAAACTTACAAGAAATTGCACAGTTTATACCGCTAAAGTTTCCAACTAAAGTCTCGGTTTGCAAAGTGAAACTTAATTTCGGCCTAGCTAGTCGGGTATATCGAACAGTTTACTATAACCGCCAGGAATTTATTGATGTACCCCTAAGCCATCGACCGGAGACACAACCATCATTTGAGATATTCTTCAAGTTAACTAGAAGCCTATAAATAGTAGATAACATCGTCGTTGCTCCCGAATTTGTAATCCGTACCTTCAGCACCGACCTGAAACCCAACATGGGTTATCGAATCCAGCTTCAACATAAATTAGATAGATCTAGTATTACCCCATCATCATAATTAAGTTAGCAATAAGATCATCAGCAAAGCAAAAATAATACGTCAACGCAACAATTTAATAGCGCCAGCCGAGGACGAGGCCTCATCCAGCAGCGGCAGCAAACAAAACACAAGCGGTGAGTTTGAAAAAAATATATATATGTAATTCATATTGTACCACTAGTATTGATTTTGCTTTGCAATGTTTGATGGAATTTGTAAGTGCGATGATTTGTGTTTCCTTTTTGCATAGCAACAAGCAACAGCAAATAGATATTGATTGTTTTGTTTTGGTTCCGAGTTTTTTATGGTTCCTTTCGTACTTCCCTATTGATGCTTGCTTGCGGAACAGCTTATCTGAACACTACAATTATTCGATCAAGCATTACCGTCCATCGAATCATTTATTTTCAAATTGAATTTAATTAAATTTTATAATCATGCATATTGATATGAGTAAAGAGTATATCGTAGGCATTTTTTTCTTGTACATTTTTTTTTGTTAAATTAAGGAGATTGAATTCATACTATTTTATAAAATACTTTATTATAGAATAAACATTTATATCATCATGAATCTGTAAGTTTTCATTTAGGGTTTCTATCAGGTGTGAACACTTAATAGACTTTATTAGAAAAGTTAGGGACTTTAAACTAAATTTTACATGGGTGCAAAGACTAAAGTCATAGGTAGGGTGGGTTTCGAGCACCATCTCCTGAAGATCTAAAGGAGGGAAGTAAGTGTATCGATTAGTAACTTGTTTTGTTTTTCTGAAATATTGACTTACTGGGGAGTTTCAAGTGTCATCAGAAATTTTGTAGGTCAAATTCTATCATTTTGGTTTTATATCTTTAGTTGTTTTACAGTTTTTTTTCTTAAGGGAGTCTAACAAATATTTTTATGTGTGACCATTGATATTTTATTTGGAGTGTGAGGAAACAAGGATCCCCCCGTGCCGACTGACCGCTAGCTTATTCAATGACTCCCGTTCGTTCCTTCACTTTAAATAGTATTTTGACGACAAATGCTGCAAGTTTAATAAATGGTTCATTACATAATTTGGCGCCCAACGTGGGGCCAGGAAAATTGTATTTGTTTACAGAACAAATCGCTTTCTTGCCCTAGTACATCCATCCAAATTTAGATCGTAGTTTTCATGACAGCTTGAGTTGAGATTTATGTACGGTAGGAATCGGCTTGTAAGATAAAATTCAGTTCTTATGGATTTTGATTGACTGATGGTTTTGGTCATATCAACTAAAAGAGCAACTAATTTCGTTCTGCTTGCAGATTCTTAGTTGGTCATGAATATTTATACTTTAAGTTATGTCGCTTTAGTATTCATAAAGAAATTGTTAGGGTACTGAGTTATCAGCGCCTGGTTTGCTGTTGGATTTACAACATATCTGCTAGTTGCAAATTGTTGTCCCGACAAATCAGAGTAAAAGTAGGTACTTTGTTGGTTTGTTCCTCATGATTTCTTTTCGAATATTAGGCAATAGAATGGTTTTTGCTAACTTGTTATCAATCGTTACATTTCACTTCATGTAAGTTTTTGTTGTTTCACACCATAGTATAGAAACCCATAAAATATTTCATAGCTAATCAAGTTTAACAATTCCTTTGATATATTTAACTGTTTTTCATTGCAAATTTAATACTTTCGAAAAATTGTTTTCAAATGGAGAGAACTCCTCCAGAATCTCAAGTGTTGACCGCGTCTGGTGGTGTTGACGCATCTGTAACCGAGAATTATTGTACTGTTTGTGGAGATAAGATCTTAGAGGAGCAGGATATTGTGACCCTGTCGGAATGCAATCATGTGTTTCACAGAATCTGTCTTGAAAACCACTTGTCTAATTCTCCAGAATGTCCGTCTTGCAAAAGACATTGTTCTCTTGCAGAAATAAGAAAAGACAAAGTTAAACATGCTAATAGTAACCGAGGCAAACCGCGAGGAGCTATGGCAAAAGCCTATAATACTCGCAGCCAAGTACGTAGTCTTTTCCCAGAAAAATTTCAGTACAATTCTACTGACATAGAAAATGTTAGGGAAGAGGGTGGAGAAATTAGTCAACTCCACACTCCAAGGAATTCTCCTTTTAGAAATCAAAATTCTGATACACAAAAGCGGCCTTACAAGGCACCTCAAACAACTGTTGATTATGATCATATAAGTCGCATAGTAGAAAACACCGTATCGAAAATGTTACAAAATTTAAATGTAACGTCCTCATCAGCAGAACCAAGTGACAACGCTCCTCAAAATTACGTCACAAATCGAGACTCTGTTTTAAATACCCAACCCAAAAATACTGTTCC